GATTTTATTTAGTTTTTCTCAGGACATAATTTCACCAGTTTGGTGTCTTTGTTCTCCTCCCAGCCATCGCCGAAGTGGGCGGAGTCCCCTTCGAGATCCTGGAGCCGGTGCTGGAGCGATGCACTCCTGAGCAGCTCTACCGGATTGAGCAGAGCAACCAGGTGGGTCAGAACCTCAAAGGTGAAACATGATGCTTCCTTGAACAGCTTGAAGTTTGCTTTGTAAATTTTGATATTCTAGTTTCTAGTATATATTTACTCATAATAAGTAATATTTTCTTAGTATCAAGCTTTTATATCTTACTGAGATTATTAATTACAAAGGCACTTAAAATAAGAAAAATATTGTCAGATAAACATCTTGGTGAGAAAAATTAAATTGTCAGAAAGAAAACAAGCATAAATCTCCTTAATTTAGAATATTCAATCTTATTAAGATTTCAGCTTTTGCAATGGAGGTCAGATGTCTGAGTGATCAAATATTTTGTTTGCAGAAAATCCTAACAAGATTTTAGTTTGGTGAGTTCTGCGTATTTGGCGCCGTTTTAGGGCCTCTGTCACTTTAAATCCTAATAAGCTGCCGCTGGCCACGCCCCCAACTCAACATTTACACTCACGCGAAAATGGCTGCAATTATACAATTGTGCATTGTTGAAAAGCGTTAGTAGAGTCTCCTGCACGACCAACCAGATTACAGCAACAAGAATTACCGTATTATCTGGACTACAAGTCGCAGTTTTTTTCATAGTTTGGCCGGGGTTGCGACTTATACTGTGGAGCAACTTATGTGTGGAAATTAACACATTATTATATCATGTCACATGTTATTTTCACACTAAACTGCAAGAGGGCGCTCTAGGCCTGTGATGATAACGTGTGTGGTAGAAGCTACCTTCAGAGTTAGCGTGGTTGTTTAAAAGCGACACGAGGAGGAAGATTTCATTGCGTTTAGTGATTTGGAGAGACATGGATGGTTTGGTAAACTTGTTAGCATGTTATTAATGCTATAGTTATGTGAATAACTTAATATGTTAACATACTAGGCACGTTCTCAGTTCGTTGTTTGACATGTAACGTTAGCAACAATTATTCAGCCTGTTGTTGCCTCTATTCTATTTTTATTATTAAAGCTTAAAGTGTCAGTGTTGTTCTGCCTCTGAGGAACTGAGGCTGAGAGTTTCTGCTCTCTCCTCTCAGTGCTTCACTGAGGACTCAGACGAGCTCTGGATGCGTCACTGCCGGCGGGACTTCAAGCGTGAGAGTCCCCAGGAGTTCGAGTCGTGGAGGGAGATGTACCTGCGGCTGCACGACGAGCGCGAGGAGCGGCTCAGGTTGCTCACCCAGAACATCAGCTCTGCCCACGCCAACAAACCCAAAGGTAGGCGGGGCTTCGCCCCGAGTCGCGCTGGGATGTCAGAGCTCCTGATGGAAACTGGGATACTGAGATCCCGAGTTTTGTGTCCTGCAGGACGGCAGGTTAAGATGGCGTTCGTGAACTCAGTGGCCAAGCCGCCGCGGGACGTCCGCCGCCGCCAGGAGAAGTTTGGAACCTCCAGCGGTTCGTCATTGGCCTCCACTGCAGCTGCTTCCCCCATCAAGTGAGCTTTCCATGACCAGACGTCAGATTTGAGCATTTTCCTCTCATCAAGTTGTTGATCTGTTAGTCAGAGGAGGTTCTTATTTGAATGGCCACCTATTAATTAGGACGGCGGCTGCTTTTCCTCCGGAGTCCTGATTAGACCTGTCACAATAATAAATACTGCTGGATGATAAATTGTCCCACATTGGGAGCAAATGCAACGGTTTTGTTTCTAATGCATCTCAGGTAAGTCTGGATTTTTCTTTGTCTCTTTCAGAATAAGACCAGCTTCCTCTGACTTTGCTGGTGACTCCAGCCACTCCTCTTCACAGTTGAGCTCTCCAGCCGGTTCGTCTCGCTCATCGGCGCCGCCTGGAGGAGGCGGAGGAGGAACTGTTCATCCCGGCCGGGAAAAGCCACAAGTCAAAAGTGAGTTTGTTCTAATTTTAATCGGGTGTGTTGATGTTTATGTGTCGTTATGTTTGTGTTTAACTCTCCTGAACTTGTTCCTGTTGCAGAAATCGCCCCCATGATGGCGAAAACCATCAAAGCGTTCAAGAACCGATTCTCCCGCCGGTAGTCTGCCAGAATCCGATGGAAGGTTTTAATTTTATTTTAGCTGCTTTTCTCCTCCAGACACACACGGCATGAACTTCACGGTACTGCTGAGAACACGACTTCCTCTCTGCAGCTTTTTCAGTATTTCTCTCCGGCGCCGACGGCACACAGACACGGTGGACATCTTTAACCGCTGGAACGTTTTTACCGTTTGGGAGATGTAGATGTTAGATGGTTCTGCTTTTCTGAGCTGAGCACAAAAACTAGAAACAAACGTGGAATCAGAGAACGCGTCGGTTTGTAGAAGTGAACAGAAACAGGTACCAGCTCTTTGGGTTCGATCTGGGCGACTTTCAGAAAATCATGCTTTACGGCAGAAAAATCATGATTTACAGAGATTAATACTGAGAAATATGATTTAATTTATTTTATCCCAACTCCCTATTTGTATTAATTGTGGTTCTGATCTCTGTCTGGACCTGCTGGCCCGCCTGGTAGAAGCAAAACAAGGTGCAGTTGGTAGATGGTATTAATTGGATGAGGTTGTGGAGAACCGGAGTCCAGTTGTCTCTGTGGAACCAAACGTCCTGCGGCGGTCCGCGGCATCTCACATCTGGAATCATCTTTTCTAAAAAGGACAAACTGGAACGCTATGAGATGCTTAAAGAGCAAAATGACACGTTTTAAGGGTTATTTTAATCTTAAGTTTCAAACGATTTTTAAAATCTTATTTAAAATCAGAATTTGAAGACATGATCTGGTGAAGAGCTCTGTTACCAGCAGCCTGTCAGGATTTATCTCATATTTTATTAATTAGTAAAAATGCTTTAGATAAACTGTCTGGTTCCCAGAGAGCTGTTTGCTGAAATAGTTTTTCATCTGATGCTTGGCCCAACTCTTCTTCTTTGGTTTCCTCTTGCTATCTGAGGACTTTAACCACTTAATGATGAAGAACCGGATCACAAAGGGTCTGAGAAGAACTTTTGTTTAAAGGAGTAGAAGAAAGTCAGGTTTCCTTGGAGGATTGGCTCATTAAAGAAAACCAGTTTCCTGTTTGGTAGCAGCTAAACTTTCCAGCACAGTTTGCACAAAATCTTGATTTAGAAATCAGCCTTATGAAGGCTGCAGATGTTTGATTCATCTGGACGGCCGTACGTTTGGAAAAAGCACCTGCAAACAGGAAATTCTACAGGTTTTTTATTTTCCTGGCTCTCTGCTGCTCACACATCAGCAGGACTTTTTAAAATGTTTTTAAGTATTTGAACAGACAGGAGAGAAACATTCAGCATCTTGAGATGAACCCGACTTTCCTCTGGCTCAAGATCATCAATCTCCCAGAATAATACTGTGAATTCAAACATCATTGTAGATTTATGGGTAACAGCTCACCTCTGGCCACACAGACACACATCTGACATGTTACATACAGAAGAGAAAGATTCATGTTAAGTTTCTGGCTAGCAGTTTCCATCTGTTTCCAGTCTTTGTGCTAAGCTAAGCTAACAATGGCATTTGGATCAGACACCTGCCTTGTCTCTTCAAAGAAAGCAAGTTGAACTTTTTCTTTTTAAGGTACTTTGGATTAAATGAACTCTCGTCTCTTTTCCTCTCTGACCAAATGACACTAAACCTTCCCGCTGGTCGCTTCCTGGCCGCTGGAGGAGCCGTCGATGTTAGGAAACCGAGCCGTTCAGATGTGATCCTGTAATTCCTGGTGATATTTTAGTGTGTGTGTACAGGGAGGAGGGCTGAACTGTAAGCAGAAACACACACCCTGCTGTTTCATTTTTACCTCTGCTGTGGCTTCAGGTCCTGTTCTCCTCCTGCTGGAAGTCTGTTTCTGTCTGCTTCACTGTGACAAACTGTTTCTAATGAGGGAAGTTCATAGGATGTCTGCGGCTTCAGCCCTCCATCATCATGAGATGTATTTATTTTCAGAAATGGGACCTGGTACCCTCCCTGCAACACGGGCTCCAGTAGATGGAAAACTGTAATTTTATTAGATTTTAATAAATGTTATGTGGTCATTTTTATTAAAATTGACTTTTGCCCTGACAAACTCTGTGTGGAACTTCTTTTGAATGAAAATGTCTGATTTAGTGTAGAAATATATTGGATATGGATATTAATAAGGAAACTTTTCACAGACCTGTCAGCTTTAATGATGAATGAGACTCGGGCTCCAATCAGTCCTAATAAAATCTGTTTTCCATTTTTATTGTCTGATTAGGGCTTCATGTGGTTCAAACCATCGCCAGACTTTAGCAGGAAGAATTTAATTTCTCTGAAAATGTCTGGTTTGTTTGTATCAAACTAAAGTAACCAATTTTATGAATCTGACAGGAAGTGATAATGGAGAGGAAAAATGTAGACATTTGTTTTGACTCCATAATGGTTTCAGAAGTAACTACAGCGATACATTTCATCCTTTTATATTCGGATATTTATCTTATTCTTTCCGCTACATAAACCTATTAGTTTTAACCTAATTCTGTTTGCAACACGCTTGTAAACATTTTACGTCAGTTGCAGCGTTTGGTGGTAACCGATGGGAGCCAATCGGAGCTCAGTTTTGGCTCCTGAAAAGCTTCCGACAGTATACCAGTTGACGTTTTCCTGTGACCCTGCTATTTTCAAAATAAAATGTCGACAGTTTTAAAAATTAAGATAGAAAACCGAGTTAAACTTCGAACAAAGCTGTAGAAATATAAAAGCATTGACTCTGATTAAGATTATGTTATTAGTTTTTCGAAAATATCATATATTCCGTTTCATGACTGGAACGGGAAAGCTGCTGCTTTTAGTTTGAAAAGCTCAAATCGGAACTGTTGGGTTAACCTCGCCTCACTTTCAGCTAAATTTAGTTGGCTTCACGCTGCGGAACGAAACTTGCTGACCGAGTCCTCGTCTATAAAATAGCCCGTTTTATTCGGAAAGCTTCATTATTTTGTTTGCAGGTTGTCATTGAGTTCGACCGTTTGAGTCCACCATGTCCGGCCACGGCCACGGCCACGGACACAGCCACAGCTGCGGGGCGGAGGGGCAGCATGAGCCCGCAGAGAGAGGCGTGGAGTTCGGGTTGTATCAACGCATTGACCTGGAGAGGCTCCAGTGTCTGAACGAGAGCAGGGACGGAGACGGACGGCTGGTGTTCAAGCCTTGGGACCAGCGGAACCTGCGAGACAAGGTACGGGGCACAGTATTTTCCTCCAGTCAGGATGTGAGTTTCAAATCTTGTTTAAGGTTTAATCAGGACTTTCTCCCATTCACTGCGATTCCTCTGGTGGTTTTTCTATCGGGCCAATCACAGAACATCCTCCTCTTTGCACTGGAGGATGTTTACAGCACTGTAAACAGCCATCCAACGCTAACCCTTCCTAGCGTTGAACTGACGCATTACATATAAAAACATCAACACAGTCCATTCCTCCGCTAAACAATCGTTTGTCAACAGTCCACAACTCAAACCACTGGTTTAATGCATCAAACTTAAGAGCTCTCAGGACTGATTGTAAAATTTCCTCTGATTTCTAATTCAGAGAGCCAGAGATCTGATTGATTGGGTCTTTCCATCCTTTTCTGGAAAGGTCCAGAAAAAGATTGAAGCTTGAGGATTTGAAAATGTAAAAATCTTCACAGTCCAGAACCCAAACAATGAAGCATCTGACCATGCCTTTGTTTTCCTTCAGTATGTGGAGAGTGATGTGGATGAAGAGCTGCTGTTCAACATCCCGTAAGTCCTGCAATCACAGTCATCATCATTATCCTGCTTTCTGTGTGCACTTTATCCGTTTAGCTTTGTTTCTGTATTTAGTTGTAAATATTGTTCCTCAGCAAACTTGAAAAGGTTTGTGGAACAAGCCCTTGGCGTCCCGCTGGGTGTAATTTCATTCAGTGCTTCTCTTCTCATCTGTCCGCGTCCTCAGGCTGACGCCGTCTTATCTGTTTCAGTTTCACTGGCAGCGTGAAGCTGAAAGGCATCATCATCTCTGGAGAAAACGACGACTCTCATCCAGCAGAGATACGACTGTGAGTCCGTTGCGTTCCTCCCCCACCAGGTGGCAGCGTTATGATTCTGCGGCTGGTTGTTGTCTGCAGATACAAAAACATCCCTCAGATGTCGTTTGATGACACCGGCAGGGAACCGGACCAGGCCTTCAGACTCAACAGAGACCCGCTGGCTGAGCTGGAGTATCCCACAAAGTGAGGAGTCACAAACATTAGAAATCAGAGGAAATTCAACTATTTTAGCTCAATTTAAGTTTCTCATTATCAGTTATGTCCATGTTGCCTTTACAAAAATGAAATCTATTGATTTAGCATTTTCCAACTGTGAAAGAATAAGCAAAGATGCTTCCAGAAGTTTTAAAGAAGTTGCTTGTTAAGTAAAGTAATTTTCAGGTTACCTATGTTTATTTTGAGATAATAAATAAGTTTTAACTTAGTAAAGCTCATGAATTCTATATTTTGGGTTAATATTAAACTGATAGCTCAACATATATTGCCTTAGATCTTTGTCTCCAACTGTTATTGAACTAAAAATGAATTCTAGATCCAAAATGATCAAGATAATAAAACAAAAACAATCAGGATCTTTAAATTTGGACTTGACAAGATGATGAAACTATTATCACATCGAATCAAGTTGAAAATTCTTTAATTTTCATTATTTAGACAAGAGAAAAAACAAACTTAGTCTCAAATTCTTTGTCTCTTGAGACAATTAATTTTTTTTAGAATATTTATGTAACAAGATATGAAATAACAAAACTATAATAAAGCAAAATAAAAATCTTTAAGTTCTGACTTCCTGAGATAATTGGTGTTTTTGTGTATAAATGAGCTCAAGATGCTGCTGTCTCGAGATGCGACATCTGTAAGATTGAAATATCCTGATACACCAAGATAATGAAACTGCTAAACAATCTAATTTTAAAGAAAAACATTTTCCACTTAAGGTGTAATCTCAAGATATTAAGATAAAGGAAACTTTACAGTTTTTATCTCAGTTTAACGAGAGAAAGGAACCGTTTCAGTGACACTTTAACAAATAGTTATCTCGAAATATGGAAATTAAATTTTGTTAAAATGAATCTTGAGATTTATGTATTTCTCTAATATGAGAAAACGAAGCTCCCACAAAATAAATCTTTTGTTATCTCCAGCTAATGTAAGATTTTTTTTTATCTTTTGAGAAATGAAGCTGGCGCACAGTTAGATGATGAAAATCTTCACCCTCTAACGATGTTTTTAAGATGTTTGTATTCGTTTTGGATGAATGTTTCTCTGAAATATTCACACAGGCGTCATTGTTCCTTCCTGGAAGCCGTCGTTTTGACTTTTCCTTCTGTCGTTTGCAGGATTGCTCGTTTCTCCAGCGTCCATCACCTCTCCATCCACATCTCCAAAAACTTTGGGGACGAGAACACCCGGGTGTACTACATCGGGCTGAGAGGGGAATATTCAGAGGTCTGTCTGGCATAAATCTGTCAGGAGGAAATCAATCCGAGGACTGCAAATTTGTGCAGCCCTGGTTTAACGCGTTTCTGCTCTGTTCCCTGAAAGGCTCACAGACACGAAGTGACCATCTGTAACTACGAGGCGGCAGCGAACCCAGCGGATCACAAAGTAGAGAGCATCATCCCACAGACCAACTTCATCTCCTGAGACCTGGAGGAGAGGAAGTTTGCTGAAGTGTCAAACAGGAAGTCAGCGCTGCGTTTGTCATGCAGCGAGGAGCCAGCGCTGTAACCTTGGAAACCCGCGTGCTTCTGTTATTTCCGTGGCAACATGCTAAACAGCGTTGGCAAAGATGCATGAAAGGTTTTCTTTTTAATCTTCCGTGATGAATTTTGCTGTTAAATAAAGCGAGGAGGGGAGGAGGACAGGGTCAGTTATCTCGGTTGCCATGACGACGGCCTGGATTCATCATTCGCTGCAACAAGGAAACTTTTCAGGTTTAAATCATGAACAGCTTTGCTTGATTCATTGTTTCCATACATGAAAGGCGATGAAGATTTTTCTTCATCTTTTCTGATGCTTAAAAAAATAAATAAGATGCTGCAATAATGTTGACCTTTCTTTGTGTTTTTTTTATGCACCCAGAAGTGGCTGCTGCCCCCTGCTGGACGCTGAGTTTATGTCTTCTGTAAATGTGAGTCAGGTGGCAAAAATGTCTCAGTAGATTTAGTGTTGGCAGAACCAACTTCAGGTCAGCATAGATCTACAATGTGAAGCTCCGATAGACCTACAAGCACTAGATCTACTGCAAAAAACAGCGTACGAAAATAAAATAATCCTGTTATGTTTCAGTTCAAGAAATATTTTATTTTAGACCACAAAAAATGAGATTCATTTTTTCCATTTCTGTAGTCAAAAACAAGTGAAGTAGAAATTTAGATTTATTTTCTCAGACATCTCTTAACTTCACTCCGTGACTTCACTGTTGAAAATTGGTGGGAGAGTTCTTTCAAAATAAAACCCCTAAAAGTAAATAGTTTGTAAGATTTGTACAATTTTCTGAAGTTCTTGCTCAAAAGAAAATATTCTAGTTTCAAATAAAAACACAAAATGAACACCGCCGAGCCAGACCGTTTATTAAATAGATTTATTACACAGACTCAAAGTCCAAATTTACATAAAAAACGATAAAAGAATAGAAAGTATGTAAAAAAAAAAAAGGCAACTATTATTTAGTTATTTATTTAACTTATAGTTAAAAATGAAGTAAAAGAATAAATCTGTTTATTTAGCTAATTTTAAAAAATATATTTAGTTTATTTTGAAATGAAGCATTAAAACCATTAAAGAGGTGGGCTGTGGTTTGTGTGTGACGTCACTTCCTGGTCCCGCCTCCTCTCGCAGTGCGCAGAGTACCGGAAGTTCCGCCCCGTCGTGAACTGGGACAGCAAGCGGTGAGTGTGTGGATCTGAGTGGGCTAATGGGCCGCGGATGTGTTTTTAAAGGCTTTATTCTGGTTCGAAACGAACCTTACGAGATATTTGATAGTTTAAGGGGTATTCTGTGCTGCTGGTCATAAAATAGGTCAGAAATGAAATCTGGTTCCGGTCCTGGGGACGGAGGGGAGGGTCGAAGAAGGCACCGGCAGAGGACAATACACTCGATATTGTGTGTGTATGTGTGCAGTGGATCTTCCTCTGGCTAACCCGGTGTAGCAGTGTGTGTGTGCGGCAGATAAAGCGGGAATAATGCCCGCAGTGGGGCTGGGAGTCGCTCCGGGTGGATTTTGGGGGCAGTTGGGGCTTTGTGTTCCACCTCCACCGAGAATTAAGCCGAGCTGCGGCTATTCAGTGTTCCTGAATGGCCGCTTCCTCCTTCGATGCTAACTCATTCAAATCAGATGAAAATCACCTTTAACTCGCTCCTGGTGAAGCCAGGGGACCCAGCAGCCGCTCGAGGGGCCCCGGAGCCGCAGCAGCAGCTGGATGGGGGAACCTGCCGCTGGGTGCCGCATATCGATGGCCCTGCTGCTGATCTGGGATCAGTGTTTGACTGCAGCACCTCTGCTGTGTTTTTCTGTTCAGTGTAATTGAAGTCACGCAGGAAGGAGAAACCTCGTGGTTTTCTGATCTCTGCTGCGTTTATTGGATTAAATCAGATCAGTGAGAATAATTAACACATTTAGAGATAAAGTAAAACCAATGAAAACAATAATGAATGAACATCTTCTACATAATTCTACATCATTTCCTGTTGATGTGTTTTAGATCCAGTTCTCCAGACTCGTTTTCTTCTTAATTTGGTTCATGTATCCTCCATTTAGATTAATATCTTACATATTTTTTGCACTTTTACTTAAATAACCTACTACTTCACTACAAGCTTCAGTCCGACTCTCACTCAGAGTTGGACAGATTTCCTGGTTCGTGTTGGAAATGGTCTCTGGTCGATAAGCGGCTGACTTCTTTCTCTCTTGTTAACCCAGAAATAAACTCAACACTCTGTTTTTATCTGGTTGTTCTGGATGATGCTGTAGTTTCACTCAGTGTTACTCTTCAGTCCAGAAAACTACATTTTTATGTTAACAATTTTAATTTGATAAGAGAATAAAATTATGTGGGTTTTCAAATAGGTCCATTACCTAAATATTATGAATATCCATTTTCTTCCATTAATTATTTTCTTTCTTTCTCCCTTTCTTTTGCTCTTCCACTCTTTCTTCCTGTCTTTTTTCTTTTGTTCTTTCTTTCTCTCATTCTTTCTTTCACTCTTTCCATCTGACTTTTGCTCTGTCCTTTCATTCTTTTCTTTTTTGCTTTTTCCTTCTTCCTCTTTAGTTCTTTTTTCTACCCTCTTGTCTCATTTGTTCTTCCTTGTCTCCTTTCCTTACTTTTTGTTGCATTATTTGCTCATTTCTTCCTCCCTTCCAGTTTTTGCTTTTTGCCAAATACTTATCATTCAACACTTGTGGAAATCTTTGCAGTACATTGATAGTGAAGTTTAGTAATTTGTATTTTAAAATGATGAACATGAAAGACTGAATAATATCAGTGAAAAAATGTGTAATTTTGGAGGGAGAAATTGCGTGGAAACGCTGTTTACACTCAGATGAAAACATGAAAAACATCTGTTTAGTTTATGAATCGATCCACATATTATTTGTAGTTATCTCTGGGATTTTTATGAAATATAGATGATATTTAAAAACAGATCCGCCTTTCAGCGAGAGGATGATAAAAACCTGTCAACTGAAACATGAAGCACTTAATGGAGCAAACAGAAAGTAAATCAGATCCGGTCGGTTTGAGAGTCTGAATCCCAGCAGATGCTGAAGCTATTTTTACCCAGCATCCTCCTCCAGAAGCTCAGAGCGATCCGATGTTTCTTAGAGAAATCCCACACAGCGACGACAGACGCCACGAATCTGCTGATCAGCACAGCTCGCGCTAACGACCTCAGACTTTCACAGCCATTTCATTCTTCCTCTGTCACTCAATTCTATTTGTTTTTATTCAGTCGGAGTCTCAGACCAGAACTCTGCCTCCGTTTAAATCCTAAACAGCCAAACTTTCTGCTGTTTAAATCAGACTGGATTTGTTCACCGAAGCTTAAATGTGATGCCTTTTTAATAATCTCAAATGTAAAAACAGGTTGATGAAATATTAAGTAGATGTAGTTTAAGTCAGGTGAGATTAAAATGAAATATTTTATCCAGTTTTGACACATTTTTAATTAAATTCAGCTTAAAATATTTAAACTCTAATTTTGAAATATTGTTTATTTTCCCACAATGGGGAAATTTAGATGCAACAGTAGCATAAAGTATGAAGGTCCACATAAAACTTAAGTGTTAAAACATATTAAAAACTGGATTTACATTAATATACTGTAATAATTGGGTTGCAATAACATCCCCAGATCAAGTGATTTGAGAATCTAAGCCATTTGATTTTTCCTCTTTCTTTCTTTTTCCTTTTATTGCTCATCTATTACTCATTTATCCAGTCACATGTTTCCAGTTCTGCTTTAGAGCAGCCATGGAATTTCAACAGTGAAAGGTTGAACATTAAGCTTGGCGTTTGGAACATTCCTTCGTCTCCCATCGTCTGTTTACTGATGAGGCAGCGCGCCATCCGACCTTCCTGTTTTCCTTCCTTCCTGTCCTCACATCGTCCTAGAGCTTTTACCGTAAAACATCCTGGTCGCTCAGACGTCCAAGCACTTCCTAACTGCTGAAACCTTCTTGTTTTGTCGCGTTTCAAAGGCAAAAATAAACATAAATCAAATTATCATGTATTAAGTAAAACATTTTTTATATTCAGCCCCTTTTACATGAATCCTCCTAAATAAATTTAATCTAAAAAATGCAGTCCTGTAATTTGAGCTTTTGTATTAAATAAAGCTCTTCTGAAGATAAACGAGGTTAGTTGTTTCCCCATCTGATACATGGTGGTGGTGTCATCATGCTGTGGGGATAGATTGGACTCTATCATGTGGTAAGGGCAAATTTATCGCCAGTTGGCTGGACAAAATTTGTACATTTAATTATAAAAAAAATTCTTTAAAAGACCAATCCCCTCTAGAGACACAAAGGGCAACAAGATGGAAATAAACATTGATTATTAATATTAGCCCAGTTTCACTTTTTAGAAAACGATGCTAATGCCGATATATCATGACGATTCCTGATGTTTCACGTATCGCCACTGTGTGACCCGCAGGCTGCTGATCTTTGTGTGTGATTACAGCACCCCCTACAGTGTATGTGTGGCAACAACATGTCTGTGCCGCTGCTCGCCGATGCTGTGACGGTGTCCGGGACACAGAAGGAGACCGCGGCGGTGAGTCCTCAGCTCTGCTTCACTCAGCATTTTCTGCTGGTCTGGCAAGTACAGACACCCAGGAGCAGCTGGAAGCTCCGATAAATCAACTGACAGATTTTCTCCATCGTTGTTACTGAATTGGACATCACGTGACTATCGTTCGCCACGCATGCGCCTTGTTATGCTATAGATGGAGACTATCCGGCGGAGAGAAAATTATATAATCACACAAATAATCTGAAAAAGAGGCGCCATGTTTCACTGTAAATATTCACCACGGCGGCAGCTGGATGCCAAGAACCAAGAGTCGCATTTCGCTGGTTAGTAAAAGGTTTTAATTAAGAATGTGGAGAAAGTGGAAAGTAGGTCAGTCATGCTAGCTTAACGCCGACAGCCGTAGCATGAACATGATCTGCGCATGTCTTCTGACAGGTAAAACGCAGACCAGGTGTTTAATCAGCCGCCGCTCACGTTCATTCAGCTGGAAAGCAGAACAGTAACGGACTGGATGCTCAGTTTTATGTTCATTGTTTTGTGTGGGGGAGATATTTGTGAGTTTTTAGGCCTTGGTGTTCCGATTACATTTGAACGTTGTTCTGCTGGTGGCGGTGCTGTTGTCATGCAGTTGCCAGGGCAACGGCTCCAGGTGTAGCGCAGAGAGCGACCTGTTTTTTAAAAAATGTTATTTTCCCTTTGTTGTGCCATAATTTCTATAAGTTTAATAAGCGACAAAAACTGGACGACTCCTGATTCATGATTGTTATAAACATGGCGATATTGATGAACATGGTTCAATGCATGTCCAATCCAGTGTTGATGGTTTTATCTGCTGGGTTAAAAGGTTACAGTTTGGGATTCAGGATGTTTTCTGTCTGTGCTGCAGGTGATCTTCCTTCATGGATTAGGAGACACAGGGTGAGCACTTCACATTTTATTCTCTCATGAATTTCCTTTCAACCTGACCATTTTAAGTCCCTTAAAATGGTCATTTTAAGGGACTTAAAATGGTCAGGCTGTGGCTGTGAAACCACTGCGGGTGGCAGCACCTTGAAGTAACTGTTACAAAAATAAGATATTTTTGAATTTGAATATATCTCTTTAATTTTTGCTGATTGGTAAAGTAATTTAAAGACAGACTCACTCACCAGATCATTTCTGCTTCAATAACTTACAGTTAACACTGTTGAAGCTTTGCAACTGTGTTGCAGTAACTTTCAGAGAAAAATCTGTATCGGCCAAAATTAGAATCAGCAATCAGTTTGTTCCTTTTTTCTGTATTTAATATAATTACTGGGATCTCGTGCACCACATTTAGAGCATGTTTTAAGTAATTGTATTAAAAAAAAACAAGGCCTTTTACCAAAAATTGCAAAATATCCAATTAGTTTTTTGTGACTCTTTAATGCTTCTTTTTTATTAAAATTAAAATTAGCTGGAATTTATGAATAGGAAGAAAAGCAAATTATTTATTTATTAATTGGGCTATTTGATGGAGACAAACACACAGCCGTCCCAGGCCTGCATCACGGTACTTATTATAAAATTTGCAGCACTTGTCTTTAATGAGTTTTACTAAAAACTTTCCAAAAACTTATCAAGAAGTGGAACTGTAATAATGTAAAACAATATTAACAACATATCAGATAGCAAAGCAAATAAAAACATGACAATAAAAAAGAAACATTCATTAAATATTATCTAAGGTACTTTGAGTATCATTTTCATCTCCTGACTGTAGCTTCGAGTCAATTTGTCTAAAATGTATTCAGTGTTTTCATTAGTCAGACCTCTGTACAAATTTACAAAACTGCAAAAATCCTTTACCTTTTTTATGAACCAGGTTTGTTTGTTGTTAGATTTATTTTTTATCTGCTTCCTGTTTTCCATCAGGCACGGCTGGGCCGACTCTCTGACGGGGATCCGGCTGCCTCACGTTAAGTTTATCTGCCCTCACGCGTAAGTCTGCTGCCGTTTATCTCACCTGAGCTGCTGTTCTGCCCCCTGACGCCTTTTTCCCCCCGCAGGCCTAAAATCCCTGTCACTCTCAACATGAGGTCCCTGATGCCTGCATGGTGAGTAGCGCTGATGAACGCCACCGCCTCTCAGCTCAAAACTGGCTGCCTTTGTTTCCCTGGAAACCACAATAGGCTCCCATGTTGCCTTTGACAATAGTGCGATTGTGAGTATTGATCTCTTGTTGTGTTTTTTTTTTTCTCCGCTTTTGTGTGTGCAGGTTCGACCTCATGGGCTTGAGCCCCGACGCTCCAGAGGACGAAGCCGGAATCAAAAAGGCTGCAGAAAACAGTGAGTTTGAAACAAAACAGCCACATTCACCGCTGAAGCCAGCCTGAAATAGCTTGCAAAGTGGCACTTTCTGTCACGCATCTGATTGGTCGACTGCAGCAGTGGAAAGAAGATTACCTCACCACAACACTGCAGCAATCATAATATTAATAATGAAGAGATGGGCTGAATTATCTCGGAGTCCAGGCTGGTGTTGATGGAGACAGTTTGTTGTGCAGAACTTGTTGAAATGAGCAGCTTTCCTTAAATGACAGACGGTGTTTTAGAAATGGGTCAGAAACCTTGTTTGTTGATTTAAAGATAGAGTATTATGTGTTTTTCAGGCAGATTTTTTTCTTGTATTATCTCATCTTTATTCTGATATTATTTTGACTAGTTCTCCTTCATTTCTTCCGTCATTGAATGGTTTTATTTCTGTCTCCAGTTAAGGCCATAATCGAACACGAGGCCAGAAACGGGATTCCTCCTCACCGTATAATCATCGGTGGATTCTCTCAGGTCAGATTGCGGCTCACGTTGATCCTGTGTTTGTTCTTAATTCAGACCTGTCATGATAAACGTTTTGCTGTCATTCCTCCTCCCCACCTCAGGGTGGCGCTTTGTCCTTGTACACCGCTCTGACCTGCCAGCACCAGCTGGCCGGCGTGGTGGCCCTCAGCTGCTGGCTCCCTCTTCACAAGAGTTTCCCTTCGGTACGTCGTGGAGCCGACCCGTCATGTTCTGCGCTGGTTCTGTTGCTCAGGTAGAACCACTGTGGGTCTTCTGTTTCCGCAGGCGTCAAGTGGCCACAAGAACATCCCAATCCTGCAGTGCCATGGAGAGATTGACATGATGGTGCCTGTGCAGTTCGGCGCCATGACGGCAGAGAAGCTCAAACACATAGTTAACCCTCAGATGGTCACCTTTAAAGCCTACCCAGGCGTTCAGCACTCCTCCTGTAACGAGGTACGTCTGCATCTTATTGCAGTCTGGGGACGCACCTCTGATACCAATATCTAAGATTTAACATCAGCTCATCCGATACCTGTCTGTGTTTATTTTAAACACAAACATAAATGCACTGAATTACAGTTTGATAACTCTGCAGTAGTACAGCACATTGAAATACACCAAAGGCTTCACGAGCTGCTCAAACCTGGAAAAACAACTTTAATTTGTTCAGTCAGTTAAATTAGGAGAAAACAGTCAATGTAAAATAAATAATAAGTTAGATTGACTAACTTAGTCAAACATGTAAAAATAAACAACAAACCTTTTCTCAAATGGTTCAGAAAGTTCCATCAGGAATTCTAAATATAAGGTCAATAAATAATAAAGCAATACTTGGCTCAGGGCAGAAAGCATAGAAATAGGCTGAATAGATCTTCCCTTATGGATCAAACTCATTGTCACTGAAACTTGATCTAGAATTTTCTTCAATATCGTTGCCGATACAGATATTGATATCAGATCGGTGGATCTCTCATCTGGTCGTCACCATCAGGAAGGTCATTCTAATGTTGCCGTTTTAATGACTTTGGTGCGATCATGAATTTTAAAGCTGTATATTAGTCAAATATTTTTGAATTTGAATTGAACTTGAGCTCTCAGTTCTTGTTTTTATGAGTCTTTGTAGACGTTTGTTTTGTGATCTTTCCTCTCTGAAAAAACGGAGAACAAAAACATTCGTGTTGTTCCTGCTGGTGATGATCGGATGAACATAGAAGCTTTTACTTGTCTGAGATTATTATTTATTAATTGATTATTAATCTGTTCTGATCTCTTTTAGGAAATGTTGGCTGTAAGGGAATTTATTGAGAAGTATTTGCCCCAGATTTGACCTCACCTCATTCCAACTGTGATGCCCTCCGAGACACTGACCTCTGACCCCTGATCTGCTCTCCTGCAGGAAACAGCCATGAGAACCCCCGACCCCTCACACACACACACACACACACACACACACACACACACACACACACACACACACACACACACACACACACACACACACATTTAACAGGTAATTTAATCCGCAGAGCTGAACAGTGCTCTTCATGCAGTCCAACTTGTCGAGTTTCGGCGTTCGGAGGGAGAAACTCTCGCTGCACATTCCCCCTTTTTTTAATTTAAATCCTCCATCTGTTGCCTCTCTTCTTTTCCTTTTTTTTTTCTTTTTTACCTCATCTTGTTTTCTTGTATCAGTCATCGCCTCACTGCCACACTTCCTTTTAAGTTACTGGAAAACCAGCGATGAGCCCTGAGTCGCATCATCCGACCTGCTGGGGGCGCTGTCAGACTGGTCGGATGTTTACGAACAACTATTGCTTCTCCACCTTTAGCATTAGCTGCAGCATTAGCTACAGGTTTTATAGGAAGTGAAAGGAAGTAGAATCTGTTTCAGACATTTTGTTTAGACATTCTGACAGCCTTTATAAACGAGTGAAGCTGTTTGCATTGAGAAAACAAATTTTTATTTAAAAATGTGTAAAATCAGATCACTGATGAAAACCATTTCAGATATGAAATATGCAGCAATGTAGGTCACATTACCACATCAAATCTGCAGTATTTGTTTGTAGCTCCTAAATTTGTTCAATTTGAATACCTGGAACGTTGCAGCAAGCAGCGCACTTATGACCCTGACTGTCTCCTTTGAGTTTGAGCAGAAACAGCAGTTTGGAATGAAAAACTTAAACTCCTTCTTAATTTATTTTCATTTAATAGCAAGAAACGCTGCAAGTTTCTGAAAAGGATTCTTAATGTGATCACAAATCAGCAAATGTGAGATATTGGCTTCCAGTTGAGAAATAATGAAAATAGTTATGAATGAAATAAAATAAATTGAAAATACCAGAAAATGATGGATGAAATAACATATTAATTCTTGTTTTTGGGACCAAACAGAACGGTCTGTTTGACCCACCCAGCAGAATATTTTTTCATTCTGTTCATAAATAACTGCAGGAAAATGTGATTAACTGACTAATAAAGACTACATACCAGAGGTTTGATAAGTGGTCACTATCTGTCCTGTCTGATAACAGTCAGCTGAGCCAAATGGGCGTGATGATCAAAACAAGACCTAATTTCAGCGATCTTCTGACCTTTAATGTCTTTTATCCTTTTTGGAAATACTTCTCTGCAAAACAAAAGCATAAGTCATAGTTTAAATTGATTATTTGGAAGTGGTTTGTTTACAGGCTAGAAAGGATCAAAATGTTAACGTGTTAGTGTGGATTAATCTGTATCATTTGACCTCTGACCCGTTAGCGTTTCGCCAGGCGTGAATATTCTCGTCCTGCGTTGTTCCCGTTAATCATGTCCTAAAAGGCCTTTTATAACGAAGTTCCTCTGTGTCCAACTCGGTTACTGGGAGAGCTGGTTTTCCACCATTGCATCCATTCCACATTCTGCAGCTTGTCCGGGTCTTTTTATGGAAACACGCACACAGAGTCCCTGGAACTGATGCTTTTCCTATTTTTAAATGTGAGAAAATGAAATGACTTGTGTAAAACGTAATCCAAGTGAAATAAAGCAAATGAAAGACTGTTCCTGCCAGCCTGTTTCTTTCAGAGCTGTAAAACATTTGTGTTGATTCGGTGTCAAACTTTGATTTTTCCAAAAATCACAGAGAACGGGAACATGAGACCCGCACAGACTGCACATCACCACTCGTTTCACTGCACCTGCTTTCATCCCCATTTATGTTGGAGCAGCTTTTATCCTCCCTCCTCATATCCATCCATGATGCCAAGGAGTTCCAGAGTCCAGACCTTTTAATCCCAGAGAAAATCCAGAAATTCTTCTTGTTCCTCCTGCTGTAACCTGTTAACAGAGCGACAGATTAAAGATCTCAACTTAAACTCCAGTTAAGGTTTTTAGAATTGGCCTGAAGCGCATTAATTTCTGTGCAGAGGAACAGTTTAGTTTTTAGCTTCTTCTGTATTGGTAACGTCTTCTGATCTGAAAGACGTCAGTTTTGATTGTTCACCAGTGAATGAATGTTTCTTGTGTCCTTTACTGTTTTCATATTTCTGTCTGTCTTTGATCCCAGCCGAGTTTTTGGATTTCTTTTTTTGTAATCATCTTGTTTTATTATGTCTTTTCTTTTTCCCCATTTGATTGTCTTGTTAATGTTGTGGATCTTTTTCATCCTCTTTTTGTCTGATGACGATGATGAGCGTTAAGAAGACATGTTGAGGTGAGACTGATGTCTCTGCTCATTTTGTTCCCTAAACAGCTTTCTGCGGAATAAATGATCCAAAAAAATAAATAACAGACAATGTATGAGTTTTTGTTTGATTTAAAAGAGTTTTTTTTTTTTAAAAAAACCCAGAAGAAATAATGAAAACTTTTCCACTCTTCCTCAAACAGTCTGGCTTTCTATAGCTGACAGTTCCAGGTTGTATTTTGGCCCATTTTCCAGCAAATGCATCCAAATGGGTCATTTTTATCTTTATTGGAGGAAATCTTTAAATCTGCTGGATGTGGAGCTGGAAGCTAGGAAGGACAACCAGAATAAGGCTTTATTTTGATTTATCGGTTATCAATATCTGCCCATTATCTTCATATTGTTGCATCCTGAATGAAAATGGTTTGCTAATGCAGTTCTACAGCGGCTCCAACACATGGCGTCTTTTTGCCTACTTGGCTTAGAGTTACAGTGTGTGGTCCAACAGACTGCATCATTTATCATATCCAGATATATTTAACACTTTTCTATGTTACAGACACTCAATGTCGAAGACAAATAATCACAAAATATATTATGTTTTCAAAATGATACCTTTTAGGTCTTTTGTGTTTTCTGTAGATGCTTTAGCAGAAAAACAAACAATGAAGATATGCTATTGTAAAACGGCCATTTTAAGATGTTTTGCACATGGAAAAAAAATTTATGCTATACAGTCACATTAAATTAAAAATGAAGTTACCAAAAAATAGATAAATTTTTTTTACCTACTCAACAATGTACTCAGTTGGAGTTGTGGTGTCAGTTGAGCAAGTTTTTACATAAAGTGATTTTAAAACATGTTGAAACTTCAGACTGAAATGAAAATGACAATAGCGCCCCAACAACTCAAAAGACATAGTGTAATACAAATGATATATCACATTAATATTTTCTTCTGTAAAATATGTTTTCTAACAAAAAAAATATATAAAAAGTATAATTTTCTCCTCTGGAATGGGAAATAAACACAGAGATCTACAATGCTACTTACATATAAATGTAAACAAAAGCAAATATTTTGTTTTAATAAATTACTACAAGAAGTGTTGTGATTTACATTTCATATGTTTAAAAAGGCTGAATTTCCGAGAGATTTGAAAAATATTCAGTTTCGTGCATTAATTGAATAAATGCTAGAAAAATTATGAAAAAATATACAAGAAAAGCAGAGAATAAGATGCAGCTATTTTCTACACATTAAAATTACCCCGAGTAATAATAATGACTAATAACTACAACAGTATTTGCACCAGTATATGCAGCGTAGCAACTGATACAAGACACTTTTTTTTAAGATAAAATAATTTTAATCCAACCGGAACAAATGTGAAGAAAATAGACTCTCGAAAATCTGGGGATTCATTTCTATGCTGCTCGAGCAGCGTCAACAACGTAGCGACGGACCAATCAGAGGCGCTGGTTGAAGATGGGCGGAGTCATGATTTTCTTCTGTGAAAGAAAGACTGGTTTCTGCTCGACCGTTGGTCGCCATTTTGAGGACCTCTAAGGCGCTGTTAAAGTTCTATCTACGCAGTTAATTTTTTGAGTTTTTTTAAAAATAGTACTTTCGCTCACTTAAGGATAAATGTCTCGATTCAACAATAACCGTGGTGGGTACGGGATGAATCAGTTTCAGCCACGCCGAGGTGGAGGTCCCGGTGGCCCTATGCGTGGCGGCCTAATGGGAAATCCGCATTACCGAAACCACCCTTTCCATAACTCCAACCAGAACCGGAGGGGAGGCAACAACAACTTCAGCGGCTCGAATAACCAGAATTCCCAACAGAAATCTGCGCAAAACCAGTCGAAGCCAATTATTCCTCCACCGAGCCCCGGACCGGCCCTCACAATGAAGGGCCCGATGGAGCAACAGAAACCACCGGCCCAGCAGGAGCAGCAGAAACAGAACCCTCCTGCCGAACAGTCGAAGACCCAGACTTCAACTCCAAAACCAGAGACAACCCCCGCTCAGGCCAACCAGAACCAGCAGATCAAGACTCCGGCTGGGAATGCCAACGCACAGCCGCCGCAGCCGCAGACCCCACAGCAAAACCCGAAACCGAATCCACAACAAGGCCAGAAACCTGCACCGCAACAGAGCCCCAAGCCGGTTCCGCAGCAGAGCCCGAAACCCGGTCCCCAGCAGAACCAGAGGCCCGGTCCACAGCAGAACCAGAGGCCCGGACCCCAACAGAACCAGAGGCCCGGTCCACAGCAGAACCAGAGACCCGGACCCCAACAGAACCAGAGGCCCGGCCCAGCAGAGCCCAACAGAACCAGAGGCCCGGGTCCACAGCAGGGCCCGGACCCCAGAACCAGACCCGTCCACAGCAACAGAGACCCGGACCCCAAGACAGACCCCAACAGAACCAACGGCCCGGTCCCCCAACCAGGCCAACCAGGCCAGGCCAAACGTCCCCAACAAGGCAACAAGACCGGCCCAGTCCAGGGTTCGGGCCCAAAGCCGCCCCAGAGTGCGGAACCAATGACCGAACAGAGGCCGAAAGAGGAACCCAAAAAGAGCGAACCAGGTGAAGCAGGGGTGAGTCTAAAACCGTTCAGATTAACAAGACTTAGCAGCAGCTAATGGCGTCAGACTCGGTGAGGAAAAGCTAGCTGGCGTTAGCCCGCAGCCATCTTGTCTAGCCATCTTGTGATTCACTTTATCGAGAGTTTTTTTATTTATTTAATAAAACAGAAATCAAGGCGCTGAAAATTAGTATTCGTATTTTTTGTTGCAAATGGGTTTCTCGAGAGGTACCAACTTGTTTCAGTTTATAATAATTACGTGATTTAAGCCAATATTAGAACTAAAAGAAAATAAACAACGATGAAATTCACCTTCATCTGGGCGAGATGGGCTCAACGTTAGGAGACAATAGAGAATAAAGAACCTTCCTCAGTTGAGACATTCAGGTTCTCAGCAGCAAGCTGAAGAGAAAGCCACGTCATGCCAATTAATACAAAAATGTATACAAAAATTTTAATATAGAAATAAAATACAAAGACTGTACAGCAAGGCAGAATTTAGAACATAATGAAATACTGTTATTAAAAATGACCTGCATGCAAAAAAAAGACCAAAGTCTTAAGTGTGATACTTTGGTTTCACCAAGCTTTTTAAATCTATTTTTGTTTACAGAGACTTCATAATTCATTCTATTTGCTGTTGATTTTATTTATTTGCGGTATTTAAAATGTCTTCCAGTTCCAATATTAAATGTTCCCTAGAATTGAAAGATAATTGATCTTTGAGAATGTGTTTTTGCTTTATTATGCCATTACTGTCATAGTACTTTTAAATGGTTTCAAAACAACAATATTGTTTATCGCAGTAACTTCTGGGACAATTTATTGTCCAGAAAATGTATTGTGTCAAGCCTGGGCATGAAAAAGTTGAATACAAGTTGAATGTTAGTCCCGTTGAGTTTGTCTACGAATTAATTGACTTGATTTACTGTGAAATGTTTTATCGTTGACAGATGTTCAAGGCAGCCTTGTCCATGTTGCTGAAGCCTGGAGAGAAGTCCTACACACAGAGATGCCGTCTGTTTGTTGGTAACCTGCCAAATGACATCACAGAAGATGATTTCAGAAAACTTTTTGCAAAGTATGGAGAACCTTCGGAAGTCTTTGTCAACAAAGGAAAAGGCTTCGGCTTCATCAGATTGGTAAGAGGCGATGCTCTGATCTGTGACACCAGCTCAGCACGAGAAACTTCTCCAACTGAGTCCGTTTCCTGTTTGTGTTGTAGGAGTCGCGGGCACTGGCAGAAATCGCTAAAGCTGAGATGGATGACTATCCGATGAAGGGCAGACCGCTTCGTGTTCGTTTTGCTACACATTCCGCTGCACTATCTGTGAAGAATCTGTCTCCGTTTGTTTCCAACGAGCTCCTGGACGAAGCCTTCTCGCAGTTCGGCCTGGTCGAGAGGGCTGTCGTTGTCGTTGATGATCGCGGACGCTCTGCAGGGCGCGGCATCGTGGAGTTTGCTTCCAGAGCTGCTGCTAAAAAGGCTCTGGACCGATGCAATGAGGGCGTTTTCCTTCTCACTGCGTAAGCTTGTTTTTTAGTTATGTACACAAAAGTGAGACCTGATAGTAAAAGTTCTGAATGATTTCATTGATTTATTCATCTCTCTCCAGGTCACCCCGTCCTGTAGTTGTTGAGCCTCTGGAGCAGTTTGATTGTGATGACGGGCTTCCTGAGAAATTTGTCCAGAAAAACCCAAAATTTCAAGTGTAAGTTTGCTGATTCAGTTGTTGGTGTTGTGCTAGCTTGGCTCCATGTCTCAGTCTGGTCTAACATGCTGGATGTTTGTGTTTCAGAGCTCGTGAGCAGCCTCCTCGCTTTCCCCGCCCTGGCTCCTTTGAATTTGAATATTCAAAACGTTGGAAGTCTCTGGATGAGATGGAGAAGCAGCAAAGGGAGCAAGTGGAGAAGAACATGCGTGAAGCTCGAGAGAAACTGGAGAGCGAGATGGAAGACGCTTACCATGAGCATCAGGCCAACATGCTGCGGCAGGGTGAGTCCCAAAGCTGCTAAAGCAAAAACAAAAGGCTGCAGCTTTGTTATGTACAGGAAATATCTGTACATAACAATATCTGCCAGTAAACTGTTTTCTGCTTATGTAATAATCAGAATAATCATTGTTTTTGTTTTCCTGCAGAACTGCTGAGGCGGCAGGAAGAGCTGCGGCGCATGGAGGAACTGCACAACCAAGAAATGCAAAAAAGAAAGGAAATGCAGCTCAGGTATGAGAATGATCACTTTTTTGTTTTTTTTGAATAATTTTGTAACCATGTGGAAATATAGTGTGCCTTTCGAGTAATACTGAATTGAAACAAACGCATCATTCTGAGCAACTTATGATGAGTGTTATTTATGGTATTTTCAATAAACAGACAGGAAGAAGAACGGCGCCGACGGGAAGAAGAGCTTCTCAGAAAGAGGGAAATGGAGGAACAGATACGACGCCAGCGTGAAGAAAATTACAGAATGGGAAACTTCATGGATGTAAATGCAATTTTATGTTCAACTAAACAACATATGATTTTTAAAAATATTTTTAAAAATCTGTTTGATAACTATTTCTGGTTCACAGAGAGACGTTGACATTCGGATGCACGCTGGTGGCTCCTTAGGCATGGGAGGTAAGTTCCTCTGCTTTGATAGATGGACTTTAGCCTTAGACAAAATGCTCCTTTTGATATGTGATTCAGTTTTAAAGTCACAGTTTGAGACATTTTCAGTTTGTTTCAAACAAGAGAAACACAAAGACTATGAGTTGTTTTTAACTTTGAGGTGTTTAACGCGTTGTTTTCTCATCAGACATGGCCTTCAGCGGATCCGGCCAGAACTTTGCGATGGGTGGCCTCGGCTTTGAGGGTCAGCCTGGACTGGGATCGTCTCCAGGAGGCATGATGCCCAGTGAAATGGTAATGTATCCCACTTTGGGAATATAGTTCACCTGTGGCTGTTTATTCTTTCTTTTTCTTTTTGTGTTAAATGTTTGATGATTGTAGACATGGAGGCCAGCTGGGCCAGCAGCAGCGTAGAACACAAGTAGCTTCCTCTCTTTTTAAGACTTTGTGGCTGGTGAATAGTTGGAATATGAAAATTTATAAACATTGTTCTCCATGGTAGCTTTGTCCCCTGATTAACCCTCGATTAATTAAATTTATCTACAAAACCTTCATCCTGCACTAAATCACCAGATAAATCTGTCCAATGTTCCTTATGCTCACTCCTAGTGTACCATCTGTGATCATAGAGGATCTTTGCAAGTCCTGTCTCTTGTGAGCGTGACAGGCACTTTGTTTTGTGGACAGCAGAAAGTCTTTTATTTTTCTGAAACTATCAGCAGCTCTCCAGTTGAAACTTTTGCTCCATTTATACTTTAAGGCACAACTTTGATGAACCACAGAAATGGGAACTTGTGTTTATGGGTGGATGTGTGGAATCTATATCTCTACCTCTGTTGTTTGAGAAACTTTGTGACCTTTAGTAGGGATGTACTCGGTCTGCTCCGCGACCTTCGCTTTCTAGTTATTTTTTTTATTTTTGTAACTGCAAATTTAGAATGCGTTTAGTGCAGGATGGCGGTATAAAAACATAAAGGACTTCATCAGAGGGGTCAGGCAAAAATGGAGACCATTTGTGCTGTAAACATGTTGGAGATGTGTGCTGGAGTGAATTTTTTTTTAAAATCTTTTCTCTGGATTGAAGAGTTTTTCGGCTGACAGCTGTTTACACGCTGCAGAACTGACCATACTCAGAGTTTGTCTGGTTTCAGTAGAGATGTCCCAGTCAAAACCTAATCTGATTCTGACTCTCCATCAGCGTCCCATGTAGGCGATCTGGGGCTAGAAGTGACTTTTATCATTTTATTTTGGCAGCAACAATCTTGCAAAGCTTTCTTGAACAGGTCAAGAAAGCTTTTATAATGCTCTGTGTAAGGCTGGGAATTTGTCATTATTTATTGCCATAAAAATATTTCTGATCAGAATAATTCAGATTTATCGTGATGATATATTGATGTTTTTATACCCCCTCCATTTGCTCCGTATGAGCAAAAACAAAGGCCAAAATGTTATGAAATGTAGTTGCTTTGGGCAGATTGGTGACAGTAATCCCACTTCATGTAAGTGGTGTCCTTCAAGAGCCTGGTTAAAAATGTCTCTGTCTTTGACAACTGTGTTTGTAGCTCTGTCTGCCAAAAACTTTATAAAATAAATCCTCCAAGCCGCCCTGACTGAGCGTCTGGACCGTTTATAGAGAGTCTCTGACTGGACATGTCCAGCTACAGGCTTTGTTCCACTGGTGTCCTTAACCTGGTAATGGTGTCTGAAATGCTGGGCTAATGCTAGCATGTGTGGTTATATCTGAGCACTGTGCAATTATCTGAAGCAGCAAATATTCTCCTTTTTTCTGTTCTCTTCAGGTTAATGAGTAAAAACTGTGATTGTTGGGTTAAATCCAGACTCATAAGTTCATAAAGCACAGAATCTCAGATGATCATTAACTGATCATCTCCCGATCCGATACTCTGGATCAAATCGGGACATTCTGTGCCTATCGTCTATCTACAGAACTGTTTCTCTGAACTTTGAACCGTCGTCAGGTTCTGTTATTCTTGTGATTAACAAAAAACTGTTTCCTCTTTGTGTTAACTGAGTTAATGTTTTGTTTTTACGTTTTTTTAATTTATGTACATTAAGGTAAGTTGGAGACGCACTGCTGCAGTGCCTGTTAAATTTTTTAGCTCCTTTAGAGTCGATCAGAGGCTAAATGATCAACGCCGAACTACGTTACAGTAGCAAAGGCTCTTCTTTAAAATACAAGGGATGATCTGTCAAAGTTTCTCATGCCGTTTATGAGAGTAGTAGTTTAAAGACTCATAATCTTGATTAAAAATGTGGCATTGATTTAATTTCACTGTTGTTGCTTTATGTAAATGTTCAATGATTAGAATACATTAGTTCTTTAACAGAAATTCACTATGAAGATCAGCTGGTTAGTCTCAAAAGTTGAGTTATCCTTAGTTTAGATCTTTTGAGACTGTCACTCATGAAATAGTGCAGTATTTATTTATAACTTTAGGTGTTATTTTGTAACTCACACCAGTTCATTGGTGTGAGTGTCTAGTTATGACACTTTTTTGACTTATGTCTGGTTCTGAGAACCTAAGGCTACGTTCACACAGCAGGTCTTGATGCTCAATTACAATTAGCATCATAGAAACTGTACAATTAGTTTCTATGATTCAACCTTATTTTTTGCATGGTCGTTTCAACTACTACTTAAATGCGACCGCAATGAGACTTCTGTGTGAATGTTTACAATCCCAAAGTGACCCGCATGTACAGGAAAACATAGACGTCACACAACAGCACTCTGCTTACAGTAGTAATACTGGACGCTGCTGTGTATGGGTCAACTTGTTGACTTGTTGAGCAGTGAGAGCCAACAGTGTCATCATAAATTCATAACCAGACCAAGGGAACTCAAGGTTTGGTAGTGAAAATAAAAATATGTCCCATTTGCCTGCTGTGTGAACATAGCCCAAGTTGACCTTTAAATAATTTAGTATGGGAAAGTTTTTACCTTTTATTTTGCAAGAACAAATTAATATTCTTACCTAATATCTATGCAACAATTCAGAGTGTCCACGTCTATTGCTCTCATCCCTTGTGAAGCTCTTGACTTATGGTTTTAAACTGAGGTGAGGATAATTTTATACTGATTGAAATGATAGTTGAAACATTATATCAGTTATCTTTAATTTTATATGCTCATTCATATAATATTTCTGTGGAATCAATGAAGGTTTGATCTTTTGTCTACAATATTTTAGTTGGACGTCAACAAACTTCCTGTTGGCCATGTTGGAGGACACCAAATAGCTTAAAGGGGCAGTACTGCGTAAAATTGACTTTTAGATTTTTGTCATGATATGATGACGTTCTCTCATTAAGACATACCTGGATGTTCCCTAAATGTGTTCATGCATGTTTAATCTCCATGGCAACCCTGTGCAAAACTCCTGGGTGGATCTAGCTCCGCCTTCAGGGCACAGCCCCTCCCCCTACTCAACTCCTTCTGACTAGCCACTAGCCAGTAGCAATTCGCAAACACCCAATGGAACTGCTGAGATCATAACAGCAGCTACTTCTCAGAGCAACGCTGGTGAAAATGTTAAGTCATGTTTAACAGCATTAAGGTTCAAGGAAAGCACATTTAGACTGGCTGCTTACAGACGAATGTGTTTACATCTTTATTTTTATTTAACTGATAAGTTTCTAGATTTACTTCTAAAAGACCATTTTAAATGGTCAGCAACACACTTTCTCAAGTTCAGAAATGATAAAAAAATTTATTTACAGCTGACTAAAGTTTTAAAAAAATCAACATTTTTATTCTATTCAATTGTGGAGGTAGATGAGACCAATCTACCTCCACGAAGGTCTGAAAATCAGCCGATGTTCCTGTTTGCTCTGTTAGAGGTTTGATTGACAGACGCGCCCACCAGGTGACGTCTGCGCTGTGCAAACGTCACGCCACTGTTTCCAACTTTCCAACTATTTCCTTTTTTTCCACCACAAATGTTAGCAGTATTGAAGCCCAAACTGGAAATGTTTGGTAAATCTAGCTGTCCTTTTTTCCTCCTATTCATATGATCAAGATTCTTTTTTTTATTTTATTTTGATCATTGCTTTTTTTCAGTTTTTAAGCTAATTGTTTGTCCTCCAATATGGTGCTGGGTATTTCTCAGTGGCGTCTGTAGAAACTGTGTTACGATACGACTGATTAGCAGCTGGTGAATATGGTCTGTATTGGACCTTAAGAGCATTATGTGCTGTAAGCTAGCATGCACTGGAGAGCAGAAGACAACAGGAAGGCCCAGACTAATGAAAACGTTACCCTCTCTTCCTTCTCTGTATGTAACCTGTGGCACCTGTGGACCTTCTATTGGAACGAACGTTTCTCCGGATGCGTCTCCTGCTGATTGTTTCATAAACCTTCACACAATACACACAACCACCTGTTTCCCACACATTCTGTCACATCTCCACATGGACATGAACTGTGTGCCGCTTTCGCACCGACTCCTTCCCATACATTAATCCTCATCTCCCTGCAAATTCCCACAAAAGCAGCGCAGCGAGCGCTACGTGCAGGGCGGCGCTAGAGGAATGGGCGCCGGTGCCGCAGCGTACGGCCGCGTCCGCGAGGAGTTTGATGGCCCCATTAAGAAACCCCGTTTTTAAACGCTGCGTTTTGTTCCAGCAGCTCTATTTGTAAAGCTACTCCAAGACGAACATGTTGAGTCACAATTATTGTATTTAAGTTGAATTTGTTGCATCATTTTATCCATTTAATTGGTTCGTTTTATAATTAAGTCAATACTTTTTTTTTTTTTTTTTACTTTGTATTGCTATTAGTGTAGAAAGGTCACCCCGGTGTGATCCAGTTGTTCTTTCAGACCATGTATCTTTTTCATTTCTAGATGTATTATTCTGTGAATCGTCGTGAAGTGATAACTGTAACCTTTCTGAACCTCCAATGGCTTTGTTTGTGCCACAAAATACTATTTGGAGTTGAAACGTGACTATAATAAAGAGAAACTGGTTCCATCAGGACAAACCTTTAGCGTTTATTCCTAAACTTCAATTCTGATTCCACCATTTTCCTACAGCAAGGTGATAACAGAAGAAATCCTGGCAGTAAACCAATCACATTGGGTCTGTGAGGGTTTTATGGGTTAAAAGTTGGATTAATGACCACATACACATGCAGTTCAGTATTCAGTGAAGCTTCTCAGTTGGTCCAGCTGTTTGCTCTCACTCACTTCTCTTTAGTTTGCTGATTGGTGTACAGCAGATCACTCCATTGAACTCTGGTATCTCCGCTTTCAGAGCCGCTCATTCCCAGTAGGTCTGTGATTTGGTGATGGATTGACTGTAACGCTTTGTTTCATTATGTCAGTGTTTACTGGAAGAGTTCAATGTGCTTGTGACCTTTTCCACACATTTCTGAAACGTCTTATGATCTTTGAGTCAGAACAGTTTCAACTAGATTACTTTTGCTTGAATGTTCAGAGTTTTTTATTCTCTGATTACTGTCAAAATGGGATATTTTGTTCCCAAAAAACATTTTTGTTGTTTGAATTTAGTCACACAAACTACAACTCAACAATGACTTTACTAAATAACTGCCATCTTAAGGGCAACAAGCCCCACTAGTTGCCTCTGGGGCGTCAGACTGGTCAAACTGTGATGCCTTGTGACTATTTTTAAATCTGTTTTGTTCAGCAGCGTCACAATTACTCAGAATTCATACTCCAAGTATGAACTCCCAGTAACCGGTCCTGTGTTGAGACACTGCAGCACGGTCGGTGTGTTAAATCCTCTTATTTCTCCGATACTCAGTTTTAAATGCACAGTAGTGAATGCATACATTTTCTTTTTGAAAACAACTCAAGTTTGTTCTTTTAATACAAACTTGTATTGATTGAAAAGAGTACAATTCAAACTTTTGAACTTTAAAACATTTCACATTAACTTTTAAAAATTGGATAGAGGCATTGGTAAACCCTTCCCTCTATGTTGCACTTCATTTTCAGTCTCAAGTTTGAAGTATGAAAATAATTTTCATGAAATAGATATTTCTAATCTATTTTATTAGACATATCTATGTCTAATCTGTACAATATGCCAGATTCTGTACTAAAAGTCATCAAATTTTTGTCTTTTGCAAAGAGGGGGAAAATTTGACCCTTTAGCAGCTGAGTGAGCTCACTGCATGTAGCACTTAGCATTCGTCAACAGCTCATTGATTAGCCTTAGTTTATTGATTTTGCTGGATCCCAACAACGGACTTGATGACACTTTCTGTGTTTGGACTTGCGTTCTTTGAGGATCGCCTGTTTCTCACACCAGCTGGTTGCTCTTCTGTGCTGCATCCATCTTTCTCTTACTGTGAGAATTGCTTTAGTTTTGACGTCCTCCAGTTTACATGAACTCTGTTTGATCTTTTTCTTTTCACCTAGTTGCCATGTTGTGACCTGTTGTACACACATTCTTGGCATTCAAGTTTCATATGGTTCTGCATGTAAATGTCGTTATTAGTCAAGTCTGAGTTTGAATTGATACAATAAGAGTGGTTTATCAAGAAGATGAAGTTTCTGCACTTCAGCAAATGTGTCTGAAAATGTTTGTTTCAAAGGCAGAACGACTTGATTACAGTCAATGAGCAGCTTTAATGAGCAGCTCTAAGTTCTGATGGCAGAACCCAATATGTTTCAAGATTTTATTTTATTTTTTGTTAATAATGATCTTTCATCCATTGCTTGAGTGGTCGTACCTTAAACCTAAAAATAAAACCATAAAGAGAAAACTCAGTATGATGTTTTTAGTTACTGAGCATCATGGTGTCAGTATTTAATGGGGAAGTCTCTCTTTCCACCTCTAGTTTCAGACTGCCAGACTTTGCCTAAATAACAATGTCGGATTCCTCGGTTGTTTGTGTGACACCATTTTGAATATCTGCTGGATGACAATGCTAATTGCTGGGGTGATGATGCGCTTCTTGTAATTGTCTACTTCGACAAGAAGAAAAGAACGCACAAATACCAATTTCTCACCAAAATCTTGGCATTTATTTTATACCTTGTTCCTGAGGGATAAATGATCCTCTGTTTAAAGCAGCAGACATCTCCTCATTTAAGAGCAAGCGTTGTTGTTGTTCTGTTGCTCATGACCTGACACCTTATGTGTTTAGCGCCACCTTTTGAGAGGGAGGAGTATTGTCCTTGCTGCTTGGTACCGTTAAAAAACTGGACTGCAGTTGGATCTTCACAGGGTCCTTACTGGCCACCATGTCCAGAAAACAATCTTTATTTCACTCGGGTTTCAGAGTGAAGTAGACTGGAAGCTGGCGTCTCAACTGCACTTTCCTGTTCGTAGTTTAACATCCCAAATAATTACATGGTCAGAATATACACTTAACAAATACTGACTAAATTTATAAACATTGAAAAGCAGTTTGGATTTCAACTTTCCACCCTATGTGATGAAATGATTTTACTGCCAGCTTTGGCCTCTGAGCACAATTATGAATTAAGGGCCTTAAAAAAAAAGGTTGTTTCACTTTTTTTTATTTAAAGTTTTAAAGAATCTGAATCACATCTTTTACTCTGGACTTAAAGTTCATACATTTATCAATTTAGACAGTTGACCACTGCTGAAGAGATTTTTCATTTTTATTTTTTGTGAAAACCCAAACTTGGTGGGTTTTGGCATGAGGATCACCTGTGATGGAATCCTTGCTTGAAAACCCAGAAGTTGGAGAGGACATGTAACCAACGTGTAAACATCCTGTTTTTAAAAAAGGTAATGTATTTTTCAGCTTTAATATGTACGGAAATATTAAAGTCCCATAATAAATGTCTGCGACCTTTTATCAATAATTATTGGAGATCTATTGTGACTAAACGTGACATATTTTTAGCCTTTTAGTGGATTGTGAATAAAAACATGGTGTCATTTTTAAAAATTAACATAAATGTTTCACAAATCATCTTGTCCATATTTCAAAAGTGTTCTGGATAATTTTTGAAACTTTCATAACTACTGACAACTTTTGTCAGAACCTGAATAACAGAAAATTACATTTACAGCTAATCCAAAAAATATTCAAATCCCTGGCAGTTTTAATGTAGACATAAGTCTGCTTCTGTTTGTAAATCACTCAAAATCGCCCAATTGGGTCACCGGAAAAACAAAATGCATGTTACGGTTATGAACACTAACTCATAATACAGCAGTTAAATGCTTTCTATAATTGCCAAGCAGTTGTTTGCATTTTTTACTCTGGGCAAATGTTATTACTTCCAGTTGGTACAATTCAGATTAATCTTAAATCTTGATCTGGCTGGCGTATAAATAATTATGGACCTTCATGCGTTATGGTGAGCTTTTTCCATGTTGTACCTTCTGATTGATTCCCAAAAGAAACTTTGAAACAGATTCAGATGTCAGTTTTTGGACCTTTTTATTTTGTCGTTTTTATCTGTCAAACTTTTTTTCAGCTTCTTTTTGTTTTATTTTATTGAAGCTAGAAGACGAGAAACACCAGTTCACAACCTGTCGACGAAATGCACTTTACCAAAAACTGTCCTTTCAGTTCAATCATGGACTTCCCAAATCAATTAAACCCAATCTAGTTGATCCCAGTTATCAAACAATCCACCAAGTGTAGATTAGCGGTTTTCTATCTAAGGAAACTCAACAGATTGCATCAGATTAACTTCCACCTCTCACTCCTCCTGGATGAGGATGTAGCAACAGTGAAGAGGGAAAAACTCCCCTGTAACAGGAAGCAACTTTCAGCAGAACCAGATCCGGACTCACTTTGAACGTCCGTCTGCTACAACCGATTGGTGGTTTGGGAAGACAGAACACACAAAAACACACAAGCACTGATTCATCCGTCCATTATCTTACATAATCTTCCCTATCTGGGTTGCGAGAAGTGCTGGTGTCTATCTTCAATGGGAAAGAGACGCGGTGCGACCTGGACGCATCGCCAGTTCATCGCAGGGCAACAGAAACAGATAGGACAAACAACCATGCACACACACAACCACACCTACGGAGAGTTTAGAGACCAATTAACCGGAGTACCCTGAGAGAACCCACCATGCAAACTCCCCCAGCCGGGAATCGAACCCAGGACCTTCTTGCTGTAAGGCAACAGTGCTACCAACTGCACCACTGTGCAGCGCAGTGCTTTCTATGTTAGAGAAAAATAAGACATTAATGTCAGCAGTAGCTCATTTAGAGGCTTCATCTGGGTGAGAAACACCCAAAGAGAAACTCCGAGCCACTTTTACAGGCTAGAGAAGAACATATAGAGCTAAACTGAACACAAAACCAGGCACAGCTTATTTGAAGAAATAAAACAAGAATGTAAAGTTTAAAGCTTTACAGCAAATAATGCAATTGGAGAGTAGTAGGAGAAAATAGGAAAGTGAGGTCATTTTGACTTCCAGCAGCCTCAGTCTGCAGAGAAAACCCAAGATAATCTGAATCAGACCATCAGCTTTATTGAGAAGGAAAGTTTAAAGCCTCCACTTCAAAGTTGTGTAAGAATGTTTAAATGCTACTTCCCAAAGATTGAATCAATATTGGAGTTTATAACGGGTAAGCGATTATATAAACTTAATGAAAGCCATATTTTCAACCAAAATCAAATCATACGTGACTTTTAAGATTGGATAAATGTGGCTTGTTCTGCTTGGCTGTTACATGTTTCTGTTGTATGAATGTTTTCTTTAACAGGTCTGACCAGCTGTAAAGGTTTTGGACTGTAAGACATTGTAACACGGATTTAATTTATAGATCCAAGCAGCAGACATGCTTTGTTTTATAGTATTTCTGGTTATTTCTACAAGGACGAATAGCTTTATGGTAAGATGATTTTACAAGATCAACACCCTTGCTGGGATTTTTCTCCTGATCTTTCCTCGGTGAAATGATTTCCTCTATTTTTGGGAAAAATTATTTTTTATAGTATCACAAATATTTAGTTCAAATAATATACTACTTGTTCTTTAATGCAATTTTGAATACAAGTCCTCTTGTTTTGTCCAATGTACTAAAATCTTATTGGCTCAAAAAGCTGAAGTTTGAGATTTTGGATGAAGTTGTGATGATAATTTTCACATCCTTCTGTTTGAGTAGAAATCCTTATTTACCCCCACAGCATTAATTATTGTTTGTAAAATGAGTTATGTAAATACTTATGATTTAATGTGGTAAATGATGTAAATTTGGCCTCACCGGATTAATGCTTTAGATGACTTGCAAAATAAAGGTTATTCCTTCATTGGAAAACGTTTTTAAATGCTTTCATATAATTTTCTAATTATACAATAAGCATTGATGCAGGAATTGAAGGATGTTTGGACATCTTGGAGTAACTGAAAAACCAAATAAAACTGCATATATCAATGTTTAGCTTTTATTTTCACAATTAAACAGAAAACTATCATGCATAGCAAGATGTCAGTCATAGTACTGATTTAGCTAAGTTGTGTATTTGTATTGCTGTGTCTCTATGTTGGTGTTGTATACAATTTGTTCTTCTTTAACAGGTTTGATCATCTTTAAGATGTTGGACTATGGAAAGGAACCAAGAAAGTCTGTAGCTTCTTCTGGACCGTATTAGTTTAGTCTGTATAGTGAAGAAAATAGGACCAAGCACTGAACCCTGTGGTACTCCACAAGTAATCCTGATGTGTGAAGATTTTTTTAACATGAACGAACCATAATCTGTCATGAAAATACAATCTAAACCAGATTGGTGCTGTTCCTGGATCTCTGCAGCATGTTGGAGTCATACAATGAATAATGTGATCTAACAGAACCAGAACATGGATCCATTATCTGAGGCCATGAAAATATCATTAATTTTAAATGGTATCAGAAACTTCTGGTATGAAGATCATAAATGAAAGCCAGGCACTGCAATATGTTCCTGATGTATCACTGGTCATATGTTTAGTGCAGCCTGTCTGGTTAACTCAGAAGGATCAGAGTTCACCAGGAAACGTTGCTCACATGTAGCTGAGCTTTTTAACCACAAACAACAAAAATAGACATGAAAATCGTTGTTTTTTGGCAGTAAGAGCTGTGCTCCAAACAGCAATAGGAAAGTTTGAAACTAATCGTCAGTGACATATGACACAAAATCCCCTTTAATAAAAATAAAGTTTGAACTGTTTTGTTCTTCATAGCTTTTTATGTGGCCTTCTAGTCTCAAGATAAGTTTATCTTGAGACTGCCAAATTACGCCAATTTGAAAGGTGTTCAATATTAATTTTAAGAAATATGCAAGTTTTATTACATCAAATCCAGGAACTGCTATTGATGTTTTGTCAGTTTGTCTGTTTTCATTCTGCCACAATCGGCCCTTTGAGGACATTTGTAATCTTGATATGGCTGAAAATCAAAGACTTTGATGCCACTGATCTATTGATCTCAGTGGATTATAGTAAATAGCCAATATTTAGGCATAAAATGGCTCACTGACATTAATCACCTGTGTTGGAAAAATGCTTTAAGTGATTTTTATCAACAGTGGAAGAAACGGGACTTATTTCACGTCAGGTTTGAATTAGGCTTAAACCCCAGTAGTTGATTTTTACTAAGAATTTTCTGCAGTTTAGCCTTTTGACTATTATGAACAAATTATTTTGGTGAAGTTTTTTTTTTCCAGATTTCATCTTGTAAATCTGCTTTAGTGCTGACATTCTCATAGTTTTACTGTAGCACTGACCTGGAGGCTACCTTTGGTCTGAAACTATTTAATTTCTGACCTCTTAGTGAATCATTTTGCACTATTTGTGCATTCTGCTATCCAAAGGAAAAATGTCAGCATTGTTTCGTCAGTTCATCATTAACTCCTGTTTACCTCCTTTGCAGAAGCCCTTTCGTTTCTCATGTGCTGCTCTGGTAAAAAAAAATAAACTTGCAGAGTATATACTTCCCTCGTTAATCATCTAACAGTTGGTGCTGCCATAGTTTGGATTCCTTCGACGGTTGAAAACCAAAGTTTTCTCTTAACTCTGAAGCAGATGCTTTATCAGCCATGGTTGTTTTTAGAAATGAGCTTTGTTGATGTTTCTCACCACACAGAAAAACAAAGCTTTGGGTTTATAGTAATTTATAATATTGTTGACGGTATCTAATGTCATGACTATGGTTCATGGCAGCTGTTGTAATTGACTGTTTCAACGCAATTTTAAGAAAACATTTTAATTTAATGTCCATTAAATTCAGTTTATATCATCATCAATTCTCAACTCAAGGCACTTTGCAAGACAACTGATTTAGTTAAAATCAAGAAATGCTTATTCATCTCACTGCACTCAAATGGATTTATTCAAATTCATTAATAAAATCTCCCATTTGATCCTCATTTTAATGCAGTGCAATGTAGCTTATTACACCCAACAGTGAAAGGCTGTTTATCCAACACACCCAGCCAGTTGGAGCAAGGAGCAAACCTTCCTTCCAACTAATTGATTGGAGTCGATATCGTTTCAGCAGTCGCCTATCATGAACAGGTATGGAATGATGGTGGAAGACGATGGTAGTCAGAAAAGGTAGTCTATGTATTCTCCAGCAGTCCATGCCTAAAGCAGCATAACTAGAGATATTTCAAGATGGGTACAGCTGGTTTATATTCTGAACTTTTTCTAAAAGGTCAAGTTTTAAAAGTGTGTTGGAAAAAACACACTTGATAAAAGATCTGCCTCCCATTCTACTTCACTACTGCACTTTGAAGTGCTCTGTTGGGAACATATGGACCAATCAGATCTCATATTTGTGATGAGTCTTATGGATTTTATGGATCTGCTTCAGTTTTTAACTTTGTGGTTGTAAAGAATTACAATAGTTCAGCCTTAGAGTAACAAACACATGGACTAGTTTTCCTGTCACTGTGGTATGAAATGTTTTTCATTTTGTAAACTTGTGCAGGTGAAAGAAGGAACCTGTCCTGGTCAAAGGTGATGCGAAGTCTTTGTATTACTGGAGATCCAAGTTAAGTACGGAGTTTGTTTTTCAGATGCTCTGCTCCAAAGAGCTTCTACATTGTCTGAATTTAACAGCAGAAAACTGAGTTATTCAAGTTTGTATCTCTTTAAGAAATGTGTGTAGTCTGCCTAATTTATTGGATTCATCAGGCTTTGAGTATATCATTTGCATAATTGTGTAAATATACCCCATTCTGTCTGCTTTAACGGAAGCACATACACAACGAAGAAAAGGGATCCAAGCACACGACTCTGTGGTACTCCATAATGAACGTGAACAAATTATCTGTAAGATAAATATCTAAATCAGCCTGATGCTGTCTATTTATTGCTCTTTTTGTAAGAAAAGTATTGTGATCAACTGGATCGAAAGCTGTCTGATCACTAGCTGCGTTTCCATTGACTATAAAATTGTGTAAATTGCAATTACAAGAATAAATTTGCTTGGAAATGCCTATTTAGAAAAAAAAACACCAAGTTTTTGTGCTAAGTTGACAGGGTAGTTATTCTACTGCATCAAAATTGGTGTACTCCACAAAACAGCAGTGGTAAACTTTTTTTTTTTTTTTTTTTTGCATCACATGAATTATGAGATCAACAACAGGATGTTCCTACTGGCAGAAATGACAAAGATGACAGGAAGTGATGGGAGTAAAATGGTATGGCATGTTTTTCAATAATTTGTCATGTGACCAAACTTGATCACGTCTGATTTTTATTGCATTTTCTATTTAATGGAAACACTGCAGTTGTGAAATTGTTTTGCTTTTTTCCCTAACATTGGCAGAAAATACCAATGTTGACAGAATTTTGCCCATTTATAATGGAAACACAGCTAGATGCTGCATGTTTGACAGTAAGTGTGTTGCTCACCTGCAGCTGAGCTTTTCAAGCCAGAAACAGACATGAAAATGTTTCTTGGGATAGAGATCTTACCCAGAATTCCACTCTTCAACTGTGCTGTTAGAGAAAGTTTGAGCCTTTTCTCCTCATGATTCAAGTAAATAAAAATTTTAGATTCAGGACAAAGGTCTTTAATTTTTTTATGTGAAGATGGATGTGGACGTCTGATCTGGGCTTCATCCTCTACCTGAACATTTTTCTACTTGCGTTACTATTGCTGTTAAATGTAACAAAGCACAGATCCTATTTAGTTATAATGAGATGTTACTTTAGCACTGTGGGCCAGGAGACTTACTGATGCAGAACCTGCTTCAACTGAAGTAGAAATGAAAATGTTTCCATCATAGACGAGATATAAAACTATTACTGAATGTTTTAATGACTTTTGAATTGAATTATCCGGTCAGTAATTAAAATAATCAGACTGACAGCATCAGAGTTTATTTTTACCTGGGAATCTTTTGTGGCTGACGTACCAGGAATCTGTGCTTCCAAGTTGACCAGCACGAAATATTAATGCCAACCATTCAGTTCAGCTCACAAAAACTGGGAATCACACTCATGTGTTCCATCGCTACTTTAGGTTGGGATTTTTATGAATATGGTTTTAGATTCAGTTGTACACTAAAGAAAGTTATTTTCCAGCTGAAGCCTTTCCTGCCTGAACACACCCTGAAGGTTAGATATAAATAGGCCTGAAACTGTCAGATTAATTATAATTTAAATATAATTGAATTGAAGTGGTCAACTGATTTAGAAGTCAAATTATTGTTAATTAGCATTGAAAAAAAGAGCATTGGGTGCCATATTTCAGCCGTAACTGCTGAAAATGTTCAGTCATTTTGCATTTAGGAAAAAGACACAAAACACAAGTGGCATAGTTTTAACTTCACCTGGTCCAAATTCACTGAAGCAATGCTGTTATTGCATTTTAGGAAATAAATTTATTCAAAATTGTGTAAAAAAAAAAAAAAAAAACAACAACAAAACCCGGCATAAGTTAAGTAAATGAAAAATCTGCACAATGTGCCAATTTCTTTTCTTCTCTGAGTGGTTAATCATCAAGATGACTAAAACAATTGTTGGTTGCAGCTGTAGTTACAGATAATTGGGGTCAAGGTGCATTGTGCAGCCTTCAGTGAGTTATAATTGGCTTTATAATTGAATATTTCAGATCAGAACTGACAGCACGCAGCCTTACCTGCTGCTCTGCATGTGTTCACTTAACAGCTAGCTCAGGGATGGGCAACTCGAGGGCCGGTCTCCTGCAACTTTTAGATGCGTCTCCACTTCAACACACCTGAGTCAAATAATGAGGTCATTAGCTGGACTCTGAAGAACTTGACTGCACTTCGGAAGTGATTCAGCGATTTGATTCAGCGATTTGATTGGGCTGTGTTGGACCAGGGAGACGTCTAAGAGTTACAGGCCCTCGAGGACCAGGATTGCCCACCCCTGAGCTAGCATCACATTCATGTTAATTACTGGTGTTAGCCATGTGTAGCGTTAGCATCTCAGTGCTCATTTCCAGTAGAAGAACTGGACCGACCCACAGAGGTGTAATCTGACCTCTGACCTCCGTTGCATCCCAACATGAAGTGCCTCCAGTGGCAGCTTAACGTTTGCAAGTGGACGCTGTGTGTGTGTGTGTGTGGTTGTGTGGGATGTTGGCTACCTGAGGTGCGTTAGCTGCTGTCAGAGGCTCCGCTTCTCCATACACACATCTCCTCTGCAGTTGGGTTACTAAGACGATGAGTAGTTCTGCAGTGGACAGTAGAGCCTGGACTTGTTTACACTGCAGCCAGAGGTATGCTTACACAGATGATCTGAACAGTAAGGTAAGTGTCCCCTCCCCTCCATGTTTCTGATTGCAGCTGTGCTTCTTCACTCAGGAGCACTGAGGGCTTCTGGCATCACACTGACAGGTTGGCGTCACAGTGCAGAAACGGGCCTGGACCGACCGGGGTGTGTGGGTGGGAATGCAGCACCATGTTGACCTCTGCTGTATGTGTGTGTGGGCAGTACTTTACTTTTCTCCGTATGTTTGCAACAATACACCCGTGTGGGTCAGAACCGGAATCCGAATGTGTGGAGTAACACGTCGATATCTCCAGGCAGAACCAGAAACAAGATTTTAGCTCCAGTTGAACTTCTTTCAACAAGCATTTTATCTTTTACTGTAAAAAATAAAATTGAGTGGTGGGAAATGTTTTTTTCTTTTCTAAATGTAAAGACGGGTTGAATTCACGCAAATATTCATGGTGCTGATCTGGGGATGTTACATTTTGAAGGGGTAGCATTCTGTAAAAGTGACTTATTTTGAGATTTACGTCGTGTTATTACGCTACTTCTTCATCAAAAACATACCTGGAGGGTTTCCTGAGCCTTCAAGGCTCAGCTCCTTCAGACTAGCCAGCAGTAATTAGAAAGCACTGCTGGGCTCATAGGAGCTGCTGCTCAGAGCAACGCTGGTAAAAACGTTAAAGGGTTGATGATAGAGGAGCCGTGTTGGGGTGACTTCCTGAAGTCATCCTCAGCGGAGTTTCAGAAGGAGCAGGAGTTTTTAAAAAGACAAGCCAATTTAAGGACGTTAAATTAGGAAGTAACATTTCTTTTGATATCTTTGATTTATAGCGGTTTTGTAATAACCAAAAGTGTTATACTTACTTGATTTGCTATAAAAAGGCACTAATTTATAAAACGGCCCTGTTAACGATTTGCAACAGATTCAGATTTCATTCTTATTCATGTGCTGCTGATTTTCTCTTGGGTTTGTTACTTTTTTCTATTAGAAAAACCTCAGGCAGGTTTTGTGTACAAGCTGCTACTGGATCTGTTTCTGCTCCATACATGAGAGGAAATGTTTTAGTAGAGCTGATCCTGCAGTATTTATGGTCCCTAATGCATGAAAAAATATCCAAATCATTTTTGAAACTGTTGAACTTTGACCTAATTAGCTCCAATACATGATTGAGGTTAGGAAAATCAGTTGGTTTCTGTTTATTCTCTTATCTTAAACCATGAACTGAAGGGCAGGAAACCAGCTGAATGCTTGTTTGTCTTCTCCTTCGTTTACATTTTTACTTCCCATTCCACATGAACATCGCTTCCTGTCAGGAACTACGGAAACGTTGGCAAAGCAACTCGAAATCAAATCCTGACTAAAATTAAACAAATATAATTGTCTCAAAGGTAGAATATTAGATTTGAACTTTATTTTACCATAAATGAATCATACAGTTTTATTTTTTGGACAAAGGTCTGAAATGTAACCCCCACTCTTGTTACCATTTTATATTTGATTTATAGCAAATCAGTGAAAAATGGAAATAATTCCAGGAAGTGTCCCTTAAAGGGGGCCTGCTGTGCAAAATTCACACTTTGCATATTTTTGAACTTGCGTTTGGGTCTCTACTGCTTTTAAAACCAACCTAGGCGCTTGATTGGTCCATCCTGCTGGATTTTGGCAGCAAGTTGATGTTTTTTAGTGTCTAGAAAAGGAGCAGTTTAAAAACCTTCAGATTAAGTCACAATCCATGGTACAGTGCCGGTTCCCAGAAAACCAAACTGAGCTACAACACATTTGGTCAGCTGGTTTTATCGCCATATGCTCTGTACAGTGCCTGCTGGAAAAACTTGTTTTGTTGGCTTACTATGCAGAAACCACTTGCTGCATTCTTGTTGGTTGTACAGGAGGCTCTACTTCTGCTTTTCAAAAATGTTTGTTGGATGATTGAGCATCTTTTTGAAGCCTTTCTGTGACATTCAGTTTCTGTTGTGATGTATTTACTGTCGGAATTAACCCAAGTGTAAATGTGAAACTCAGATATAATTATATTTAAATCAGATTAATGTGAAATGATGGGAAACGTTCAGAACTCCTGTTTGAACCCAAAACCTCTGGGTGTGATCTCCTTACCTCACCTTCTGCAGGCGGTAGTTCTTATTTGTTTCATTTTTTTGTAAAAGTAATGCACATTTTTATGATCAACAATTACATTTTATTTATAAAAGCTGGTTTGAATGAGTCAATGAGACATTTTTGTTCTTTTGGAGATTTGAGTCACAGATTTTAAGTCAGATTCTACAAAATCTAGCGATTCAAAATGTGTATCTGGACAATATATATGTATATTTTTAAATGTCTGCACAAAGTCAAACTGGCATTTAGAGGATTAAAATCTATCTGATCAATATTTAATTTTTCCATTAATGGAATAGAAAAATGTGAAGAGCAGCTTTTTGAATTTTTATCTTTAATGATACAAAGACGGTCAGTTTTTAATCTGCTAGAGAAAATAATCCAGTCAATATTTTCTGTTTACGCATCAATTTAAAGTGACCTCATTTAAATGTTTGAATGTTTTATAGTTTTGAGCAAAACTGAAGTTTCATCGATTTATGCAGGAAAAGTAACTTTGTTGCTTTTTTCCATATGTGGGCAATGTTTTCCTTAGTTTTAAGATTTCCAGTTTTCTAAACTCAAACTAAAAATTGGGCCGTGTTCTATAATTGAGGAAAATGTCAATAGAATCAACCTTATTGATCAGTTATTGATCTGGGCTGCTAAATCATTACATTTGGAAAAGTGTTACTTTGCTGCAGTAAATGCATAAACTGTTCAGGTTTGGATTCTTGGCAGAACCCTGATGGGAAGAAACAAACCAATCCATGAATTTGAAAATCGTTTTAGAAGAGTTATATTATATTTTCTTAATGACTCACTTCCTGTTTTTGCTGTAAAACGTTTCCTGCTGCAGTAAACGACCTGATAAGTCATTTGGTCTCTTATTGCAGAATATCTGCTGATTATTTTATGTTTCACTTTCTCTTGCTCCTGAACTGGAGGCGAACCTCTTCATGTTGGTACTGGAAGCGCCGTGGTTTGGACCGGGTCGGGCTTTTTTTAAAATTTCCTCTGCAGTTTTTCTGTGTCTGAGTCTAAACTTCGGGTCAGTCGATGGTCGTCTTGGTTCTGTTCAGCTGATTGTTTGTAGTCGTGTTGGCAGGGAAATATTTCAGCCAACAGAACCAGAAGATTTGGATCAGAACCGGCCTGTGGTTGGTGTTCAGTGTGGAAACTCTTCTTCTCTAGCTCATGGAGGTTCTGGTTCTCCCAGATCCTCAGAGGAAGTTTTATCCATCTGCACTGTGACCCATTTCTCCAAACAGAACCTTTTTATCCAATCGGCCCAAACCGCCCCTCCCGTCTCAGTGTGATGCCAGAATGTCCCTGTTGACCTTAGATGACCCCTTGTGTCTAAAAGGGCGTCGAGTCTTAAAGTGTTGATGCCGCTCTGCCGGGTCGGTACCAGCTGCGGTACCAGGACCGCCTTCATGCCTGCTGACTCAAACAGCAGCTCATTCTAACTGATTCTAACACGACCTGTGTCCCGACACACAGCTGCTGACCAATCACAGCCAGGCTCTCACTCTGTGTTCTTCTCACCTCAGGAGCCTCGACCAATCAGAGGAGGCTGACGGTTCCACCTGAGCAGCCACGGTAAGGTCGTCGTCTGCGTGACCTCTGGACTCCGGATGCTTTCCCAGCTGACTTCCTGTCCTCCTCTGTTCTGACAGGTAAAAATCACACCTGAAGTCTGAGAGCAGGAAGCCACAGAGGCTGAAGTCTGAATCCATCAGGAAGATTTAAAACAACTCGGTGCAGGAAGGTAAATGAAAGATTTCTACTTCTATGAAACCTCGTCTCCCTTTTCTTTGAACGTTGATCTTTTGGTGTCACACCAGGCCACTAGATGGTGCTGTGAGTTCAGCATGACATTGAATTCACTTTTCACCCTGAGCTTCTGCCTCACTAGCTCCATTTAGAATAAACAGTTAAGCAGTCTGAATAGTGATCATGTGTTAAATTGAACAGGCGTGACTCCGCCCCCATCCTGTCTGTTATCTGAATAAACGCTGTGAGCGTAAACTGAAGAGCAGCCGTGTGTAAACTGGGCCTTAGAGAAATGACTTTCCATGTCTGTATGACCTTCTTTTTGAAAATTAGGTCGAAATATGAAAAGTATTGGATATTTCACCAATATGAAAGCCATTAATTTCTCTCCCTATGCGTTTGTTGGATATTGTAAAGTATTGTCTCAGTATTTGTAATCTAGCTGCTGTCATTGCACTGTATTTCATTGCACTATTCTCCATTCTATTTCTGAAACATATTTAAACAATATGGAGAAAAAAGTTAAAGGAAATCATTTCCTAATGTTTGTTTTCTTTCTTTTCTTGCAGGGAGAGATGCAGGTGGCGCTGCAGTACCGGGATGCAACCAGCAGGGGGAGACATCCAGCAGACAGATTCTGTTTTTTCTGTTGGAAAATAAACGAGCAAAAAATTTTTGTTCATGCCTGAGTTTATTCAACTGAAAGAAGCAAAAGTTCAGGCTATATAAGCCCAGAGTTGAGTAGTTTAGTTACATTTACTTGAGTAATTTGGGGGCAGAGAGATTTGTACTTTTAGGGAGTATTTATATTACATGATACTTTTTGCTTTTGCTTGAAGCATTAAGTAAAATTTATGAATATTCTACTGGTGAGAGTAACTTCACTGAATGAAGAACAAACTCGTTTTAACTAAAAATTCCCCAGACATGCCTGCAGTGTTTATTTGGAAAAATGTTTCTCTTGCTGGATTTGTAATCATTTAATTTTGGTCTGTAAAAAAACATTTCCACATAAATTTATATTGTGGTCCATTTGATAATGCATTTCTTAAACATTAAATAATTGTTCTGATCAGTTACCCAGTGTTACTGTTACTGGAGCTCAGTCTCTGTTCGTTGGTACCTTTTGGCCGGATCGGGACGCTCTGTGCCGCTCCGCCTCGCTGCCTCCATCTCGGATACAACTAAGGCTAAAGGTGCAAAGTTTCCGCCGCTGCAACACGCTCACATGCCCAGTGTTGGCTGTCAACCCTGGAGGAAGTCCAACCCAGACACAGCAAGACGAGCCGGACTCCATCTGGGTCGGGTTCGTGTCTCACCTGAGCTGCTGGCGGGACAGGAAGGTCCCGGAAGTTCTGCACCATCTTTACATCTGAGTTCTGTTAGTAAAATAATGTACAGAAAATTGTTTTCAGCTGTTTATGTAAAAATGCAGCATTAGAATCTGCAGCATCAGGCAAGTCAGATGGGAAATGAATTATTTTCCCTTCTGAGTTTGATTTTACATCTTTTGTTGGCAAAACTGGACGTTAAAAGGTTAAAAACCTGCAGAAGAAAAGAAAATCTAAATTGAATTGATAATACTTAAATCAGCCAAACAGATTATGAATCATAAATCAATAGTACGGAAGAGGATTTGGGCCATTTGGAAAAAAGGATTCTTGTTTTCTCAGAAGTTTGACTTTAAAATTCTGACATTTTTGTCTTTTATTCTAACTTTTACATCTTGAGAAATAAGTTTTTTGTCTTCTGTGTGAGTTCATTCAAGTTGAAATGATTTCAAGTCAAACTCTTTGTACTCAGATTATTTGCAGTTGAGAATTTGAATTTGGGTCCTGTGAACTTTCAGCCCTTCATCTGGTTCTCAGTGAATATCTGAGATTATTAAATATTTTTAATCCTCCGGTTTTCACAGCTTTTCCCGTTTTGCTTCAGCAGGAAGGAACAGTTCACCTAACGCCCAGCTGAGCAGCTCCAGCTCTGCATCATTAATGCTCATGCATCATTCATGCTGCTCTCACCTGTAACGGTACATCCATCCGCCCCCCGCGGCGTGGCAGCGGCCTGCCAGCCTCGCCTCGCTCCCATCCTCATGACAGACCCAGCCGAGAAGTTTCCTGCAGGAGAACCGTCCCCGATGAGCGGACCCGGTTCCTGCGGGTCCGGTTCCGGCGGGTCCGTCCAGAGGACCAGCCGCCTGCTGCCCGGCTCGGTGCCGCCCGGGCTCCGGAGCAGAGCCCCGGTCCGGCTGCCGGCCCTGGGGGCCAAAGCTCCCCGCAGGCGGAGCAGCAAGACCCGCCTCAGGTAAAAACACCTGAACCTCAGCTCACCTCAGTTTATTGAATTAATATTTAGTAATAAATGCATAACAAAGATGGCATTATCTGATGTTGAAAGGCATTATAGCACTGATAATGTAACAAAGAAATAAGCAAATTGTGAGAAATTGTTTGATTTTTAAAGTTTGCAGGAAGTAATTAGAGCTGGGAAGTAACTGGTTACATTTATTTGAAAAAATTTAAATTCAATTAATTCAAGTACACCTTACTCATTTATATCTAATAAATTACACTAAGTACAGAGTTAAAGATTTTTTAATAAATTAGGTAAACCTTATTTAGTTCGTGTGTGTGTGTGTGTGTGTGTGTGTGTGTGTGTGTGTGTGTGTGTGTGTGTGTGTGTGTGTGTGTGTGTGTGTGTGTGTGTGTGTATTGACGATCTTTAAATTATGTGAACAACATTTAAATGTTAATCAACTGAGTCTTTATATTTCAGACACTAAATTAAACGGCTTTTCATCACAGAATTGATGCAACAAACATTTAATTAGTTTATTGAATGATTTTTTTTCTTTAATGACCTCAAAGCGGATCTGAAAGTGCAGAACCGGGTCTGAGGTGATGAATCGCCTGCAGCCTCCTGCTTGCATCACTTTTCATTTCTAGTCGCAGCTGCAGATCAGGATGGATGGAATTTCACTCCGATTGTTTCCTCCCGGCCGGGACCCAGTCGAACCGGGTCAGGTACCGGTGACCCGTAATTCTCAGTAGGGGAAACTGATCCGCACCTTTAATTGAGAGAAACCCGAGTGACACTAATGCGCCACACGGGGGTCAAGTACTGCGGTTAAGCCAGCAGATGTTAGCTCAAATTAAAGAGTAGCTTCGCGCATACATGGTGCATTACGGTAGTAGAGCAGATTTGGCCTTTCAGGCGAAAATAAGAAATGAATGAAAAATAAGACACAACTGTCAGAAGGGTGCACTTATTGCATACCTATTACTTTTACGTATTTATTATATAGCCAGATTAAATATTCTGGCTATATAATAATTTTACTAAACGGTTTTGGAGAAAGATCATGATAAAGTACCGTACCTGGATACATTTGTCTCATTTCCAGCAATTTATTTCTCCAAAATAAAAAATAGGAATCTAAGAAGTAAAATAGTATTTGTAATACTTCTTAATAATCAAATGGTCCAAAAGATCAAATATGAGTAAATTTTGGTACATTGAAGAAAAAAATCCTTCATATTAAATTGTTCTTTGTAAATTTTAATCAGTTTTAAGTACATCATTTGGCCCCTGGGGGCTTCCGTAGCCCAGAGCTGCACAGTGTCCCGGTTCCATTCATCACAATGTGTTCAGACACTTCAGGTTATTCATCTTCATAAAACTCAGAATGGATTCCATGTTTGTGTCCGCAGCCTGAGTGAGCCGTCCCTCCTGTCCCCGGGTCAGGACCTCCGGTTGGACGGATGTTCTGGGTCTTGTCTCTCCAGCTGTTTACAGATGCAGCCTCCGCCTCCTCCATCCTTCAGCAACCCCCCCACCCTGCTGCCCTGCAGGAACTGCGACCAGCAGCACAACCAGCAGCTCCAGAGCTGCAGCCGACCGAGATACATCCACTTCTCCCGGGCCATGCAGCCCGCCGCCCGGCCCGCTACGAGGCGCCACTCACACAACCCAGATGTGAGCGTGGAGATGCTGCAGGGTGACTTCCGGCGCCGCAACTCCTCTTCCTGCCAGGGAGAGACTCTGTTTGTGGTGGGGAGGCCGTGTCTCCTGGGCGGCGGCCCGCGGCTCGCCGCCGCCGGGCCTGCGGGTCGAGCTCAGCTCCACGTCTTTCTGCCCAGCGAGGCCAAACCTGAGGAGGCGGACAGGGAGTCCGTGGATGAAGGCTTCATGGATGAACTGGACTGCAGGATCACAGCTCTGAAGCTGCAGCACATCTTCACCAACAACTCCTAGAAAAAGTTATTTCTACCTTGATCTGACTAGAATGCGCCAACCAGTTTGTGAACCTTGACCTCTGACCCCACCAGGAGTCTGACCAGACGAGTTTCATTATCAGACCTCAGAGCTTAAATGGAGGGATTATTTTATTCTTTATGGTGTAAAAACTATTGAATATTTCTAATAACTGTCAGTGGCGCAACAAGTGGGTATGAGCTTGATATGCTATGTGGGCGCTGCACCACACCGGGCGCCAAACAACGGCGTAAAAATGATTTCTCGTCTGCATTTTCTGTATTATGGTGTCTATGGTGCGTTATATAACAGAGTCCCCCTGCAACACACAGCGGAAAGTCTAAGACTGTATGTCATTATTATCATTAGTATTAGTGTTCATCTTGTTTTTTATATATTTTAACATTTTAAGAACTTTTTTGTGTGAACCTTCATATCCATCTTTCTGTTGTGTTTTAATTTCCCCTTTGCTTAACAATAAAGGATGTTTCTATTCTAAATGTCTAAAACATCAGAGAAGTGAACAATATAAGATTTTTGAACTAGATACTCAACTAATAATATCAGTTTATCATTTACTCTTGTGGTCTCATATTTAAATGAACCTTCAAAGTTGTGTGAAGGAAGAAAAGCTGAAATAAAAAAAAATATCCAGTCATACTTTCAGAAAATCAAAACAGAAGAATCAGCTGCTGATTTAATGTGGGGCCATTTTTATTATTGATATTTAACAAAATTAAACAGACAGTATTAACACTCATTTTATACTAACACTGATATTTATAAAAGAACACTGATTATACTAACAATATTTTTAAATATGTAACTTCTTTCTTTTTTAAATATATTTTTTTATTAAACCAGATAAAACCTCCTGGTTTTACCTGTTGTGTGTTTCTGGTTACACAGCAAGTTCAAAACAATTACAAAGCAGTTTTAAAGCAATAATTAATTAGTACAGTCACACTGTTTAATAAAATGCTCAAAATAATTTCAATAAATTACTTTCTAAAAAAATAAGTATTTTTATTTTAATATTTGTTTAATGCATTATCTTTATATGATCATTGTATATGTTGTGATTGTTTATTACATGTTTTAGTGTGTTATCACTGATATTTGTTTTATAATGAAAATTTAATGTAATGATAAATATTTATCACTCTTCAATAATATCTGAAAAGACAAATCAGTCAAACAGCTAATCATGTTATTACCAAAGGTATTAAGCACTAAATGAGCATTATGGGTATAAAAATAGTATAGAATTTATTTTTTTATCACCATTTATTAAATATCAAGCCTTTGCACCAATCAACCTGTCCTTTTTAAATTCTAACCGTGTTAGAGTAAATACTGCCACTCACAATATGGCGGACAGACACGTTCCCCTACTGAGCTCCGTCTTCCGGGTCGAACGGAACGCAGCTTAACGCTTCCTGCCGCTACCAGAAGTATCATTGATACGGGGTCAGGTTCTGGGACCGTACTGGGACCATACTGGGACCATACTGGGACCATACTGGGTCCATACTGGGACCATACTGGGTCCATACTGGGACCATACTGGGTCCATACTGGGACCATACTGGGACCATACTGGGACCAGTGCGTCTCACTGAACATGGTTTGCTCCTGCGCTTTCCCGGGCTGCGCTAACAGAGCCAACTCCTGGTCGCCGTACAGGTTCCACCGCATTCCGCTGGCGGACCTTCGCCTCCGGATGTTGTGGCTGTCGGCTCTGCGGATGGACGTCAACACGCCGCCAGCCGCGCTGAAGCATCTCCGCGTCTGCAGCGCTCACTTCACGGATGATGATTACATCGGGAGGAGGGAGAATAGTAAAGGACAGCTGCACCTGACGGACCAGGCGGTTCCATCCGCCCAGGTAAGACTGCAGCTTTTCACTCTTTGACTTTTTACACTCATGTTTATCAGAAGTCATGTATAATGTGCAAAACAATTCAGGGAAGTAAATCTGACAGAACTGTTTTATGAACAGAGCTCATTTTGTAAAAAAAAAAAAAAAGGAAATAAAAACAATTTCTCTGCATAATGTAGCTTCAATAATAAAGCATGATGTCGCTCAGAGCACAGAGTTAATGTAAATAGATCTGCCCTAATGGATCAGACTCACTGTCACAAAACCAGATCTGGATTTTCCCCCCAATATCAGGACAGACAGAAACATGGGATCAGTGCATCTGCATTGCCCTCACTGGGGCAAAAAACTAAACCAGACTCATCCTGTGTTAAAAAGGAATCAACTTTAATTAGGATGTTTATGGTTTGCAGCATAATTAGCAGATATCAAAGCCAGACTTTGATATTTGAAGTCTGGCTGTTATCAGTTATTAACACTACTGAATTGTCATTCACTCACAGCTGTGAATGTGAGTGAGGCTCAACAAACACACCTGGGCTCACGCTCTCCTGCTCTCCCAGCCCCCTGCAGAGTCCCTGGCAGCCGATACTGACCCAAAGGTGAAAGGTCAAAGCGTCGATGACCCGTCTGTGTCCGTTCAGAAGCAAACCGTGACTCTGAAAACACCGAGGACAGCGAAGCCTCCAAAACCTCAGGTCAAGAGTAAAGGTAAATAATCAGAACGATTACATTTTCAGTTTATTCCAACAGGAAGGTGGGGGACCAGATGTTTTTAAATAAATTGTCTTTTCATATTTGCTGGTACAGTTCCAGGAGCCCAGAATGTCCTGCTGATTCCTCGGGATCCCCACCGTGACGTCATGAGTCGCTGGCAGCTGTCGGTTCGAGCGCGGCCGTCGTCAGACCCGGTTTGTTTGGTTTGCTTACAGATTTTGAATTTTGCACATTTTGTCAGGTTACAACCTCCAACTTTAAGTGGAAACTATTATGAAAAATTAACTTTTTAGTTTCTTCTGCTTCTATAAACAGAAGCCAAAAAAACCCACCCAAAAACATCCTGCCGCTTTCTCGCAAAATTCTACTGGATTTTGGTGTCTGGAAATGAAGCCCTTTCAAAAACATCCCGATACGGCAATTACCATCGGCAGGCCCCAACCCTCACCTAGCAACTATGGTGGCCTACAGGAGCAAACGCAAGAACGTCACAAATTACAAAACACACCAACAGAAAAAGCAAATCCTCAAAACAAAAAAAGAATGCTGCGATTACAGCATGTAGAAATAGAAACTAAAGGGAAAAAGATCACCAATAGTAAAAATAGTAAGTATGAAATGCTAGGAAAAGGACGTCCTTTTGACCAATAGGAGGTAAATATGCTACCGTTTTATAATACTGTAAAAAATATCTTAAATTAGTTATCGACTCCCATCTTTACCAAGAGTCTTGTATCATGTGATTTAGTGGTCGGCTCCCCCTGGTGGCCTGGAGGACTCTTGTTTTGTGGAATTAGTTTGCAGATTTTACACCTGCTGTTTTTATCTTGTGGCATTTTCCCTTTTGCTTCCATTTTCTGTAACTACAGCATTTTGCTGTTTGGTGATGCGCACAAACATCAAAATTAGCTGCAAACACATGAATGATGGGAACTCTGAAACACATGAATGGACACAAATAATAAATAAATGCAACAGAAGAATGCCAAAAGCACTTAAATTGGAGGATATTTTAAATATGACAACAAAAAAACAAAAAAAACATATACAACCAAAATCAGAAATAAAATGGATTATGATGATAATAATGCAGGAGACGACAGAGTTTTCCTTCTCATTGATCAATACGTTTTACATTTCTAAAGGAAAACTAACAGAAAGAAACTGAAACTGAAAGATATTGTAAATGTTTAAAACAAAACTGATAAAGTAAGGACCACATACAACAAAACACATAAAAAATGGATTATGAAATCTCAGTGAACAAAAATTTCCCTTCAAAAATAATCACCAGAAAGGAAATTCTGGAGTTCATTTTAATTTATGAAGCAAATAATTTATCGATTCCCTATTGCAGCAGAGTTATGTGGCAGTAATCAGGCCTGTGTGAGGCTGCAGATGGTGAACTCAAACAGAGTGGAGGAAATCACTTTTCACACAGGGCTATGTTTGAATTTTTACTCCTTAGTAATAAAACACCTGAATCTAAAAATAGCATTTTGTGTTTAATTGTGTTCTCTGACTGGATTTTAATCAGAAAGAGACAAACTTTTTCTCACCGCTGCGGTGCAGACTGACTCCAGGCCACCAGGTGGCGCCAATTCCCGTTCAAGTTGTTTTCCTGCCTTTACCGTAAGAGGCAAAGAAGAAGAGCGTTCAGCTGTTTATGCCGCTGTGCAATGCCTGGTGGAAAAGACAGGTGTTTTGTTGTGGACTGCTTTGACCAACATGTCTCCATGCACGTCCTCCCAGCCCAGGCGAACAGAACCAAGTGGCTCCGCTTCATCTTTGACGGAAACGTCCCATCTCCACGCGCTCTGCCGAAGAAAATCGTAGTTTGCGCGAATCACTTCACCGCAGACTGTTTTGAAAACTACCGGCAGTACACGGCGGGATTCGCATTAAGGCTGAGGCTGAAGAAAGGTTCCGTTCCCACGATTCGCTTCAAATTCGAAGATGACGGAGACGTGAGTACAGCATGACGCGTTAGCACAAGCTAACGCTAACAATAGGCTGACGTGTCTCACAAACAACGTTTCACTCCATAAGCAGTGATCAGAAACAGATTCTGCTCGCCTGTTGGATGTGACGGAGGCTCCGTTTCTTCTGCTTCTGGGTGAAAACGCGCCGCTGGCTGCGCGTCTCTTTGCAATCATTTGCACGAGCAGGAAGGAGGAGCTGTAAATATTGAGTTGGGGGGCGTGGCCAGCGGTAGCTCATTTGCATAAAAGTGACAGAACATTAAAACAGCTCAGTCTGAGTGGAGCGAAAAAAAGTCAGAATTCAGGAATTCCTTTTGCTATTTGCAGCATTTTTTATGGCTGTTTTGTTTGCATTGGTTTACTGTTTGTAGATTTTGGCTACTATTTTCTGTGATTGGAGCATATTTTGTTTGCTGTGCATTTGTACCTGTGAGCCATCGTGTCGTGGACCTATCCCCTATCCTAACCCGCTTACAAGGAAGCATAATAGACCTCCTTTACTGTATTTTGTGCAGTAGACCAACGCAGAGTAGTGCTTCGTGTTCTGTTTATTCCATACTACGGGAATTCAGCACCATTTTCAGAACCTTCCTTTTTGTTTTTCCCATTTCTGAACCTCCACAAACTGCAGCCAGGTAGTGTGTTTTAATCCCAGTGTGAAGGTAGCCGGTGTGTGTGAAGGCTTCAGAGGTTTGTTCGATAAGATTAGAGATCCACAGGTGGAATTTATCAGTCCTGCTCGCCACAAAAAAAAAAGCTTATTTAAAACACAGCGTCTCCCTGAACACGCTGTGTTCAGCATGGTGGCAGCATCATGCTGTGGGACAGGGGAATCCAATCAAAGTTGATGGGAAGATGGATGGGGCTAAATCCAGGATAATCCTGGAAGAAAACCTTCAGAAGACTGGAGGAGGCTCAGCTTTCAACAGGACAACCAGAGATATTATGGGATGGTTGAGAGTAAAAGTAAATAATAAGTTAAAAAGAAAGTTTTTGTCCTCTCTCTTCACAACCATTCAGTCGGTTGTGTTGATCTGGAGTTTGTTGCAATGTGACAAAATGTGTAACATTTTTATTATTGTCACTGTCTATAATAATGGAGGAATCTTGACTTAACATGAATTACAACAATATTTAATTTTTAGAGGTTATTTTAATATCTCAACTATGACTTCATTGATTCCTATTTGGATTGTTTATCAACAATAAAAATAAACATTTCCATTGCCCTGTTATTTGTTTAAATAACATAATTTGTGAAATATTGTGTTTACACATTGGGAATCCTGGATGAAAGTGCTTTGTTGTTTTATTGTTTTTATTTTAAAACATGATGCCGCTGTCAGATTATCCAACCCCTGAAGTTTCTACATATATAAAAACCAAATATATAAAATGCATAAACTAGAACATGCATTCCATCAGTAAAACACATGAAAGTTCATTAGAGGATAATTTAATATCCACAAAACAACTGAAGACACAAATCAGTAACACTTTGCTTTATTGTTTGTT